TCCCCTCAAAGAAAATAGGTGATTAAGATGATCACCTGTAAAGGATAGTTGAGGTACAGCCTTTTATTGTGTAACAGCTTAGTTATTATGTAATTAGTTAAGGCTACTAGTTTCATTGCAGATTTTATGTCCTATTTCTGTAGTACTTTTTATGTGAAAATGGAAAAAAACATCTCATATAATGATTGATGTTTCATCTTAGGGAGAATAACATTGAACCAACAACAGGCTGAAACCATGTGTTTGATGTATTTGATACCATTCCACTGATTCTGCTCCAACCATTACCTCCCCAATTAAGGTGCCACCAACCTTCTGCGCTGTAAGTCAAACAAGTCCACATCAATCCCCCCCCCATCTCACTCTCTCTCCATCTGTTTCTTTCTCTCTCACATGCAAATGTATGCGCTCGCACACACACACCGTCTTCTTTACAGTAGCCTACAGTAGATGATCCATGCATAAAGATTGCAGTTTTGCAATGACAATATCCATTCAGAAATCCATTTCATACTACCACCAGTGGTCCCAGCGCCATGCATTGGTTTAAATGTGTGACCACATACACTCAAACAGACTCACACTGAGCTAACATGACCCTGCAGTGCTAAGCACCACATACTTCATTGCTGTGAACAGCCGAAAGGATCATATACTACCATAAGGTATAATCCCATTTATTTATCTCTGATATCCCACAACACACCACACACACACACACACACACAAATAATCAAGCATACTCTCATCTCCCATCCCTCTCCATGCCTTGGAGCAAAAAAAGAGTTCTTACTCATCTTTCTGTTAACAATGCAACTTAAAAACACTTTGGTGATGGTGTGTGTGGACTTGGGGGCATGGATGTTATCTGATTTGCTGACATGCAACACAGAAAAAAAAGCGAAATTGTCAGTAAACCTCCAAGTACACCAAGGTGAAAACAGACTGTGAGAGGTATTCAACCTTGGAGGATGAATGGAAGTTGATAGATTTTTGTATTTGTTGAAAACAACATGTTTTGATGTCATCAACTGAACGTATTTGCAATGTACACTTCAATGAGAGCGAGAGAGAGAGGCGATAAAGTGTATTGCTCATGTTTAGTACACATATGTAACTGTATCTCTTTCTATTCTCTTCCATTTCAGATGAGGGTGTTTGCAGACATTGAGGACATTGCATTCCATTCAAACATATCTGTGGCGGCGGACATAACAGTAGCCATAGTGTATGCTGTGTTTGGTAAGTGAGCTCTCTCTTCAAAAAGGATTCACTTACAACCCCAGTCAGCCACATCTAAATGACAACTGAGCCGCGCTACTTTTCTTCAAATGTAGGCAGAGAGGAGATGATGAAGCATCTTACTGAACTGTAACATGATGACCAACTCTATCAGTTAGTTCCTTGCTGTGTGCTGTATTCTGCTTCAGCTGAAATGTCCACCAACTCGGCATGATGCCAGACTACACACTGGGACTAAACCTGGGAGTGTGTGTGTGTGCACACGTGTGTATCTGTTTCAAGTTATGTACAGGAAACACATGGTATACACCGTCCAGCTAAATACTTAATTGCAGGTTCCTGCTCCACAACGCAACAACAATAATAAATAATAAAAGATAAGAATACGAACATAAAGTAAATGGCTCAGTAGAACAGAATAAACATGTTAGCATAAATATAATACAGGAAGGCACAATTTATAGAATAAAATTTACACGTTTTGGGGAAGTGGGGATAAACATGTTAGCATAAATAAAATACAGGAAGGCACAATTTATAGAATAATATTTACACATGTTTTGGGGAAGGGGGGATTGGGGGGCAAGTGTTTAAATTGTGCAGTATCAGTATCTAGCAGGAGTAGGCAGGGTTGCCTTGTCCGTGGTTTTCTAGCCAAATTGAGCTACTTTGAAAATGATTTTACGGGTGAAGATGTATTTCTTGGGCTATATCGCGGGTTGCGTTTTTAGGGCTATCTCTAAGTTGCACCATGGCATTTCTCATTGTTTAAAAAAAAAATATTTCACTGTGACCTGCTGCTGCTGCTGACTATCAGGCACTGAGGCAGGCTGTTGCTGAGTGAGGTGAGTGAGTGAGTGAGTGAGTGAGTGAGTGAGTGAGTGAGTGAGTGAATGAGTGGTGGGCTGGGGAGGGCCTAAGGGGTGTGTGTGTTGAGAGAGCACTACAGCATGCAGTTTAGTCCACTATTGGCTGAGTCATGTGAGTGAGAGGACACAGAGCAGCACGCTCGCACGTCGTGACTACTTTTTACCAGTTGTAGGGAGGTTATTTAGATTGTCATTATATAGACGCCTTTTTTTTGAACACTTTTTCCATAAAACATATTAACACTCTAGAACTGATGCGCATCAAGAAATAACTTGACAAAGCACTGGAAAACGACCTTGGGCACACTTGAGCGCATTAGATACATTTGCTCGGAGGTGGTTTAAACTCCATTCTAATGTCTACTTTGCTTATGGAAAACGGTATCAAGCAAAGTGTTTTACGTATATGCCATTGTAGGCTACTGTAGGCTACCATTTGATACAATAAATATGTTGAAATGACAATATTACTGGAGTCATTGCAAATAAATTTGTGCCACTTGTGTAGCCTACCTGGATCTGGCAAACTGATTTAATAAATAGCCTATAACTTCAGTTTATTGTTGTTGTAGCCTTGTGTTAACATTCAATTATTAATGGCCATGTTTAGTTAATTAAATTGGAAGTTATCCAAGCTCTATCGCAATTGCCGAGCAATTAATAGAACACATTTGTGAGAGTGTGATTTGAAGGAGTCAGGTGCAGGAGGGTAAATCACCGAATACAGAGTTTATTCCGTAGGACACAGTTATGCTGGATAGCGTCAACAGCACAGGGTGTAATACAGGCGCACTGGAACACAATACAGGCACACAGGGAGAAATAACCCCTGCAATACAAAGTACGGGTAGCTCAACCGAGCTACACTCATCTTCACATAAAACAATCACCACAAGGACAAGGGGGCAGAAGGAACACTTATACATGGACTAATGAGGGGATATGAACCAGGTGTGTGTAATTGACAAGACAAGACAAATGGAATGATGATATATGGAGCGGCAGTGGCTAGTAAGCCGGTGACGACAAACACCGAAACCTGCCAGAACAAGGAGGGGAGGCAGCCTCGGCGGAAGTCGTGAAAGCATTAGATTTATGGTAACAATCAGTCAGATTAGGCTACAGGTAAGAAATAAATAAAAAATAATAACACTGGCTGTTATTGACAAGCATATTCAGTTCATATACACATTGTTAATATTTAATTCGGTGATTGAAATTACGACCCCATCCTCAGTAGCCTCTTCCAGCAGGCTATTGGGAAACACAAGCACTTCTGACCTCGAAATCACCTTGCTATTCATGTTGAATCAATTATTCTGTCAATTTGAACTAAGCAAGCTAAATCGTTCAGTTTACATCTTGCCTAGGCTACTGTAGACTATCTGAAATTAGATGTAGGCCTATCAGGGACTATAGGCTACTATGGCAAAGTTGAATTATAATCATAAACCCAGATTTAATCAGTAGCATATGCCTATTCAAATTACAAATCAATCTTGCAAATATGCCATTTATAACGGTTTGTAGTCTTAACATCTGGCACATAATAACGGCACAATTGCCAGAAAATTGTGCCGGTACCCCCTGTATACAGCCTCACTATTGTTATTTTACTATTGTTATTTTGTTGCTGCTCTTTAATTATTTGTTACTTTTGTTTTCTATATATATTTTTTAGGGTATTCTTTCTTAAAACTGCATTGTTGGTTAAGGGCTTGTAAGTAAGCATTTCACTGTAAGGTCTACACCTGTTGTATTCGGCGCATGTGACAAATAACATTTGATTTGATTTTATCTGAAAATAGCCTAACATTCGTATTTTTTAAGTTCGTCCAAGTATTTCTTGCTCAAAGATTCCGAGATCCTCTGTCCAACTTTCATCACTCAAACTCACCTGTCGGATTGATGTATAATTATGCACATGTGCAAAAGGGATTTATGTACAATTATAAACCAGGTTCGAGCCCTGAACACTGATTTGGCTGAAAGGATCAGACTGTATTCCAGGGGTATGACAAAAAAGTACTTTTTACTGTTATAATTACGTTGGAAACCAGTTTATAATAGCAATAAGACACCCCTGGGGTTTGCGGTATATGGCCAATATCCCACGGCTAACGGCTGTATCCAGACACTACGCATTGGGTCATGCTTAAGAACAGCCCTTAGCCGTGATATATTAGCCATATACAATACCCCCTCGTGGCTTATTGCTTAATCATAGCAGTCAAACAAGTTAAATCGACATCCATTGATGGAAAATGATCTGGCAAGTTTAAGGGCGAATAATCTTTTATCTTGAGACATTCAAATTCCTTTATTATGTCATGTCATAGCTTGAAGAAAACTTAATTTAGCTTCTAACAAATGTAGCTTCTTACAAGTTACGTCAATATTCCTTCTTTGACTTGATAACGTTATGGAAAAAGGGTTTATTGTATAAATGTGGCAACCCCTCTCTTGGTGCAGAAAAAAAATGTGGGCTAGTTTTCAGACCTTTTGGGCTGGTTTTGAGTGGTCATTGTCTTTGAAATGTTTGTTAGACCTGGCAACCTCGGGTGGAGGAGGGGTCTTACGGTATGTGTACTGTGAGCGAATGACACGAGGAGCAAAGACTTTTGTAACTAACCCAAGATAGACCACAGCCTGTCATTTCCAATGGGAGCAAATTAATCCTAGTGAGCAGAACAAGCAAAGAGGTGAGCAGAGCCAAGCACGAGCAAGCAAGAGCCTAATAATCAATGCTATCCTAAGAATTGAGTAACAATGTAATTTTTGAATTGACTGAATTTAAATGGAATTGACACGTGTGAAAGGAAAGGTACAATAAGGGAGGTCAAAACAGCAACTCCTCTCCTCTTCCTGTCCTTCCTGTGAGCTGGTTGGCTAATTTGACTCCATCCCTGGAAGGGAAGAGAAAAACAACAAATACAAGCATTACACAATATAACACCATAGAAGGTGAGATTTTGGTAACTAAATACTGCTTGTATAGTGTAGTTAGTGGCATTAATATTGGAACAGTGTGGTAAAGTTGTTCATTCTTGCTGTGTACTCATGGAATTTGTATGTCAGATCAAAATATGAATATGACAGGCAAATATTTAGACAGCAAACGGTTGTTTCAGGGTATTTTTTAACCCAGAAACAACTATACATTTGCCTCATATTAATCTTTTGATCTGAAATAACAATTAGCCTATATGAGTATACTGCAAAAATAACCCACTTTACTTCACCGTCGTAATACTTACCATTGAACTCGGCTTTGAAAAGCAGCTGATGAATTTTAACCTTGACTGCTGCTTTTCTTTGCCGAGGCAGCCTCTTCATGGTTGGCACCAGGCTCATGGCAAAGAGGGTCTCTTCATCCTCCTTCCTGTGAGCATCAGGTTGGGCTGCATCCCTCTCGACGGGTTGGAGGAGCCTCTGCTGAAATGAGGTGAGTGGATCAGGGGGCTGGTACCTCCGATGACGCCTGGTGTGACGTCGTTCCTCTTCGTTTCTCTCCCTGTGTCTCTCCTCGTTTGTCTCCACGGCCACATCCTGTTCAACGAGGTCCTCAGCTGTCACTTCAGTGAAGGTCATAATAATCTCACCGGGTCCCAGATCCAGAGGTGCTTCCTCCATTCCAGCATCTTCCATGGCTGCACCGGTGATAGTCACACGTAGACGTCGTAGAGGGTCTCGCTGCACTGTTGGTGGCGGTGGTCACACTTGTGGATGACGTAGAGCATTGGTGCCCAGGACGTCGATTGCGGTCGACCGGTCAATCACAAACTTCTTTCTAATAGACTGCATAAAAGTTTTCAAAATGTATGCACTAAAAATATATATTTTGGCAATTCACAGCGTTACCATCGAGTCTGCTTAAAAATAATGAGGTCCACAGTTCTGAAGCACCCTATGCTTTGCTTACAGGTTTGCTTCTTTGTCGAATATTACTGCACAGCCAAAATATTAAAAAAACTGCTTGATTGACATAAAATTGGACCAACCCGCTACCATAGCAACCATCTGCAGTTAGTACGTTCACATTTCCATGCTTGCAAGACCTATAACAGACCTGTAACAGAATATTCTTTGTTGTTCCAGTGGTAGTTTTTTTTTACTATGAAGTTGCGGTTACGTTTTTAATATGAGTGCTGGACCAAGCAGAAAGAAACCGAAAATCTACCACTTTCACAGTGAGTGGGAGGAAGATTATTTTTTCACCACAACAAATTCAAAATGTGTGTGTCTGATCTGCCATTCAAACGTAGCTCTTGCTAAGAAGGGAAATATCGAGAGGTATTTCAAAACTGTTCACAAGAAATATGAAAGTGACTTTCCAGCTAAAAGTGAACTACATAAGAGAAAAGTAAAAGTCTCAACTAGCTGCCCAACAATCGATCTTTACAAGGCCCAGCTCAAAATCAAAGGCAGCCACGATTGCATCATTCTGGGTGAGTCGCATACTAGCAAAGCACAAGAATCCGTTCCAGGATTGAGAAATGGTAAAAGAGGCCTTTTTAGAGGCAGCAGAATCATTGCTTAATGATTTCAAAAATAAATCAGAAATAATTTCCGCTATTAAGGATGTTCAGCTATCTGTTACAAGGCGCTGTGAAATGATGGATGAGGATTTGAGGGAGCATCTTAAAAAAATACATAAATGAGTGCGTGTTCTTTTCACTTCAATTTGACGAGTCGACAGACGTCTACACATCTCAGTTGCGCATTTTCATCAGAGTGGTGTTCGAAGATATGACTGCCAAAGAGGAACTGCTCAAAATCATGTAGTTGAAAGGAAAAACTTGAGGGGAGGACATTTTTGTGGCATTCAAGGACTTTATTAATAGCACTCAGTTACCCATTTACAAACTTGTGTCCATACCTACAGATGGAGCACCAGCCATGACTGGCATCATCAATGGGTTTATTGCCCTTTGTAAAAGTGATGATGACGTTCCAGACTTCCTCAATTATCACTGCATAATCCATCAACAGGCCTTGTGTGGTCAAATGCTGAATATGAAAGATGTCATGGATATCGTGCTCAAATCGTGAATTTGATTCGGGCCAGAAGTCTGCAGAGGCGCCTCTTCAGCTCTCAACTGGAAGAATGTGAAGCTGAACTGTCACGCCCTGACATAGAGTTCACTAGTTGGTTTGGTCAGGGTGTGAATATCTATGTATGTGATATCTATGTTTTATAGATCTATGTTGGCCGGGTGGTGGTTCCCAATCAGAGGCAGCGGTCCGATCGTTGTCTCTGATTGGGATCATACTTAGGCAGCAGTGCACTTAGTTGGGATCTGACTCGTGTTTGGCTTTTTTTAGGGGGGGGGGTTGGGGTAGACAGCTAAATGCGATAGATATAATTCTTATTGTCTGCAGCACTTCCATCCCCATTTTTAATATATATATTAAATATATTAGTTGTACATATATACATACACATACATACATATCCTTTAAAAAAATATATATATTCCCCTTTATTACTTTCCAACCCCGCCACCCTTTCCCCATTTGGAGTAAACTAGTGAACAACAACACCTAGGCCTCTACTTCCAGCCCATACCCACTATCTACATTTTATGGACACAGACAATTTTACAGTAATTACATTTTGTTTGTTCTTTCTCCTGAACTTCTTCTGCTCTCAACCTCTCCGATCATTTTCATGATGTCCATCCGGTTTGCTTCTATATGCCATATCTTTCTAACTGTGCTCCTTCACAAAAGCTCCCAACCTACAACCCATACACTTATTATGGACACAGCGTGCCTACATTATTAGTTATCTTGTTATTGTTTGTTGTTAGTTGTTATTAGTCCCATCCTTCAATTCCATTCAACACCTTCCATCTATCTTTTAACACCATCCATATAGGATTTCTATTTGCCATATATATTTCAACTGTACTGTGATGTCTTACAAAAGTTCTGAACCTTTCTATTCTCATTGTTTCTACAGATTGTGAATTGAAAATAAACATTTTTGCTAATAGTATTATTATGTTATTGATCGATTGACTATGACTTTTCAGATCACCCAGTAGTGCTATCTGCAGGGTTAGCTCCAGGTAAATATTGCAATCCTTTAGCCATTCCTGGACCTGTGTCCAAAAACAAGCTACAAATGGACAGTACCAAAACAAATGATCTAATGATTCTGTCTCTTCGCAGCAACATCTGTAGAGCTGGGAAGATTGTATCCCCCATATAAATAACATTCTATTGGTAGCAAGAATTTTATATAATAATTTAAAAGAAAGATTCTAAGTTTTGAATCCGGTGTCGTTTTGCGTATCAGTTCATAAACACTATGCCATGGGATCGGTACGTCAAAAATCTCTTCCCAACTATTTTGCAATCTATATGGGACGGCTGTCAATCCTTTGGTCCTTAAATGTAACTGATATACCTTTTTATTTATCACAGTTTTCCTTAACCAATTATGTTATTTAATGCAAGGCCGACAGACAAGTTCCTTACTTTCTCCTCCTTCCACTTTCCTCTTCCATTTTTTCGGTAAGGCTGCAATTATTTGGTTGTAATTTTGGGTAGAGCAGACATTTCCACATGTTTTTGTTAGCTGCATGTGCGACATAACTCCACCAGTCCTACCGATGATATCATTTACAAAGATTATACCTTTTTTAAACAGTATATTTGAGTTTAACCACAATATTTGTTGCATTATTTGTTCTGTAGTTTCTGTAGGATTAAATTGAAATTGCAACCAACTTTCTATGGCTTGTTTTAGAAATAGTGATATCTGGGAGATGATTTCCTTTTCAAATAACTGAAAGTGAGTGGTTGTAATCTGAATAAAGGGAAAAAGAGCATTCTTGAACATTGGGTGAAACAATCTTACTAATTTGCTAGAGAACCAGTTCGGAATTAAGTATAACTTTTGTATGACTGAAGCTTTTAGTGATAGGTCTAATGCTTTAATATTTAATCATTTCTGTCCTCCGAATTCATATTCATTATATAAATAGGCCCGTTTAATTTTGTCTGGCTTGCCATGTGTAGCCATTGTGAGCTTCACGTTACGTTGCTTTTGATGTTTTGTCGTGTGTTAACGTCGTTAATAAACATGTATGCATTCCACGCTGCACCTTGGTCCAATCCTGTATTCAACGAACGTGACAGAAGATCCCACCACCAACGGACCAAGCAGCGTGGCCAGGAAAAGCAAAAAGCCTGGACATGGGAGAAGATACTGGAAGGAAAAGGATCATGGACGTGGGAAGAGATCCAGGATGGTATGGATCGCCTTCCTTGGGAGCAAACAGAGGCAGCGAGGGAGAAAAGACGGCGAAACGACGAAGGAGACCCGAGAGGCAACCCCAAGAAAATGTTGAGGGGGGGTACACGGGGTGGTCGACGAAGCAGCAGGAGGCCATGAAAGGGCTGACTGTGGAGGAGGAGGCCGCTATTGTAGAGGTCCTCCACGACCTGCGGATCAGCAGTATAAGAGAGGAGTCCACCACATTACGGGGCTGATAGAAAGGATAGAGCAGGAGAGCTCCCTTCATAAGGAGGCGCTGCAGGAGGCCCTTAGGGAGAAGGAATTAGTGGATGCACGGAGAGAGGAGCTGGTCAGGCAACAGAAGGAGCGTGTGTTCATTGAGGAACCAAGTTATGCGGAGATACGCACTGTGTCGCCAGTGCGCCTTCACAGCCCAGTGCGTCCTGTGCCAGCGCCCCGCACGTGCCGTGCAAAAGTGGGCATCCAGCCAGGACGGGTTGTGCCAGCTTTACACTCCAGACCTCCAGTACGCCTCCACGGTCCAGTATATCCTGCTCCAGTTCTACGCACTGTGTCACCAGTGCGCCTCCCAAGCCTGGTACGCCCGTACCTGCTCCTCGCACCTAACCAGTGGTGCGTGTATCCAGTCCGGTACAGCCCGTACCTGCTCCCCGCACCAACCAGTGGTGCGTGTTGCCAGCCCGGTATGCCCCGTACCTACTTCCCGCTCCAAACCAGTGGTGCGTGTATCCAGTCCGGTACGGCCCGTACCTGCTCCCCGCACCAAACTAGTGGTGCGTGTCGCCAGCCCAGTACGCCTCCACAGTCCCGTACTTGCTCCCCGCACCAAACCAGTGGTGCATGTCTCCAGCCTGGTACGGCCCGTACCTGCTCCTCGCACCAAACCAGGGGTGTGGGTATCCAGTCCGGTACAGCCCGTACCTGCTCCCCGCACCAAACCAGTGGTGCGGGTCGCCAGCCCAGTACGCCCCGTACCTGCTCCCCGCACCAAACTAGTGGTGCGTGTATCCAGTCCGGTACGGCCCGTACCTGCTCCTCGCACCAACCCAGTGGTGCGTGTCGCCAGCCCGGTACGCCCCGTGCCTGCTCCTCGCACCAAACCAGTGGTGCGTGTCTCCAGTCCGGCACGGCCCGAACCTGCTCCTCGCACCAGACCAGTGGTGCGTGTTCCCAGTCCGGCGCAGCCCGTTCCTGCTCCTCGCACCAGACCAGTGGTGCGTGTTCCCAGCCCGGTGCAGCCCATGCCTGTTCCTCGCACCAGACCAGTGGTGCGTGTCCCCAGCCCGGTACGGCTGGTGCCAGAGCAGTCCGCTCTACCGGTGCCCAGTCCAGCTCCCGTCAGCTGCTCCACTCCAGTGCCAGAGCAGTCTGCTCCACCGGTGCCTAGTCCAGCTCCGGTCAGCTGCTCCACTCCAGTGCCAGAGCAGTCCGCTCCACCGGTGCCCAGTCCAGCTCCGGTCAGCTGCTCCACTCCAGTGCCAGAGCAGTCCGCTCCACCGGGGTCCAGTTCAGCTCCGGTCAGTGGCTCCACTCCAGTGCCAGAGCAGTCCGCTCTACCGGTGCCTAGTCCAGCCCCGGTCAGCTGCTCCAGTCCAGGGCCAGAGCAGTCCTCTCCACCGGGGTCCAGTTCAGCTCCGGTCAGCGGCTCCACTTCAGAACCAGACGTCAACCCCTCTCCAGGGTCGGGGCCTCCCACACCAGGGTCCAGACAGGGCTTGGTGCATCGCGGGGGGATTGCCGGTCCAGGCCCAGACGTCGGCCCGTCTCCAGGGTCGGGGCCTCCCACACCAGGTGTCCAGACAGGGCTTGGTGCATCGTGGGAGGACTGAGAGGGGAAGCATCGCGCCGAGGTCCAGACCGGACCAGGGGTGCAACGGCAGTAAGGGAGAGGACGTCATGCCCGGAGCCGGAGCCGCCACCAAGGCTAGATGAGCCACCCGGACCCTCCCCTGTTAAGTTAGGTTTTGCGGCCGGAGTCCGCACCTTTGGGGGGGGGGGGGGGGTACTGTCACGCCCTGACATAGAGTTCACTAGTTGGTTTGGTCAGGGTGTGAATATCTATGTATGTGAATATCTATGTTTTATAGATCTATGTTGGCCAGGTGTGGTTCCCAATCAGAGGCAGCTGTCGATCGTTGTCTCTGATTGGGGATCATACTTAGGCAGCCAGTTTGTCTACCTTAGTTGTGGGATCTTGACTCTTGTTTGGCTTGTTTGTGTGTAGCCATTGTGAGCTTCACGTTACGTTGCTTATGTTGTTTTTTCGTGTGTTAACGTCGTTAATAAACATGTATGCATTCCACACTGCACCTTGGTCCAATCCTGTATTCAACGAACGTGACATGAACACACAGACCTCTTGCAACACACGGATGTAAGGTGGCTTAGTAGAGGTAAATTCCTGCAGAGATTTAGGGATCTGTTATTTGAAATCAAGGAGTTTCTGGCCTCAAAAGATTCCGAATACGAGCAGTTGGAAGACAAAGTGTGGCTGTTAGATTTAGCTTTTTTGACTGACGTAACTGTTTGGCTGAATGAGCTCAATTTAGAGCTGCAAGTAAAATACACAATTATTGTTGAAATGATTAGCTCTGTGACAGCTTTAAAAAAAAAAAAAATTGCTGTCTTCACAATTGCAGTGACATGAACTGAGGAATTTCAAAACTATGATGTCAGAGCTCGAAAGTCAGGGAAAAGCACCTGCACTTTGTGACTGTGGTCGATACGTTGAACAGGTGAACAACATTTGACCGAAGCGTTCAAGACTTTGCGATCCTGGAACCTGTGCTTTCCGTTTGGCGTGGAAGTTGATGTTGATGAAATTGCAAGAATAATTGCATCATTGTTTCACATGGAGACATCAGCCGTCGAGAGTGAAATTTTGACTCTGCAAAGCGACCTCCAAATCAAATCGAGTGCATCGGGCGAACACTTTTGGAACCTTATCGTGGAGGAAAAATATCCAAACATGAGAAAAGTTGCCATGTACTTGACAGCATTTTTTGGATCTACCTACCTTTGCGAGTCAGCATTTTCAGACATGAAGATGATCAAGTCAAAATACCGGTCCACTCTAACAGATGATCACCTGGACACCTGCTTGAGGCTAGCAAACAGTAGCTACAACCCAGACTATGCAAAGCTTGCTGACAGCATGCAGTGCAAATCATCCAATCAATAAGGTGAAATGTTATTTAATATTGGCGGGGGGAGGGGGTGGAAAAAGTAGATCCTATGTAACTAAAGTCTGGAAACCCCTGATGTAGAGGGTCTGGCTGTAAAATTGCCATTTGTTGCCGTAGGCACAATAAATGGATCCAGAAAATAAAGAATGTGGCAGAAGTGCCAAGGCTGCTGACCTGAAGCTGCTGACCCAGACCTCTTCTTCTCTTTCTCTGCCCTTCTCTCTCTCGCTATCTGATACCTGTCCCCAAGTCCTCTCCACTTCCTTCTACAGTCATCTTTTACATAGTCATGAACATGATAAGCCAAACCATCACCTAGCATAACTACAGTTCTAGCTAACATGGACATGTCACCTACTGTACACACAGACACACACACAGTTATCTGACCAAATGATCAGGGGTAGTATCTACCATAATTTCTATTACTATTTCTCTCACACACACACACTCTAGCATACACACTCACATTCTCGCATACACACTCACACTCTCTCACACAAACACATACAGTTATTTGGCCAAATTATCAGTGGTAGTAACTAGCATAATTTATATTACTATTTCTTGGTATTTGGTATTTTGGTATTTTATTAGGATCCCCATTAGCTGTTGTGAAAGCAGCAGCTACTCTTCCTGGGGTCCACACAAAACATGAAATATGACATAATACAGAACATTAATAGATAAGAACAGCTCAAGGACAGAATTACATCAATTTTAAAAAAGGCACACGTAGCCTACATATCAATACATACACACAAACTATCTAGGTCAAATAGGGCAGAGGCATTGTGCCGCGAGGTGTTCCTTTATGTTTTTTTAAACCAGGTTTGTTGTTGATTAATTTGAGCAATATGAGATGGAAGGGAGTTCCATGCAATAATGGCTCTATATAATACTGTATACTTTCTTGAATTTGTTCTGGATTTGGGGACTGTGAAAAGACCCCTGGTGGCATGTCTGGTGGGGTAAGTGTGTGTGTCAGAGCTGTGTGTAAATTGACTATGCAAACAATTAGGAATTTTGAACACATGAATGTTTCTTATAAAAAGAAGAAGTGATGCAGTCAGTCTTTCCTCAACTCTTAGCCAAGAGAGACTGGCATGCATAATATTTATATTAGCCCTCTGATTACAATGAAGAGCAAGACATGCCGCTCTGTTCTGGGCCAGCAGCAGCTTAACTAGGTCTTTGTCGAATATTACTGCACAGCCAAAATATTTAAAAAACTACTTGATTGACATAAAATTGTACCAACTAGGTCTTTCCTTGTAGCACTGGACCACACGACTGGACAATAATCAAGATAACACAAAACTAGTGCCTGCAGGACTTGCTTTTTGGAGTGTGGTGTCAAAAAAGCAGAGCATCTAATTTATCTCTCTCACACTCACTCTCACACACATACGCACGCACGCACACACAAATAACCAAGTGTACTCTCATCTCCCATCCCTCTCCATGCCAATGACGCTGTCGGTGTGATCAAGGCTATATACCTGTCTGGACTGCAACAAACCGAGAGAAGCTACTTAGCTAAGATAGGTAATGCCTCGATCACACCGACAGCATCATTGCATTTTGGTACACCAGAAGTACATTCATTTCCAATGGAATGCTGCATTTTCCTTGCAGCATTGCGTTGCAGAGGCAAATCAATGTACTTCTGGTGTACCAAAACGCAATTAAGCTGTCGGTGTGATCGAGGCGTGAGGTGCAGAGCAGGTGGTAAGTCCAGTTCAAGTATTCAGCAGTCTGATGGCTTGTAGATAGAAACGGACTCTGATGCCTCGATCACACCGACTGCGTCATTGCACAAAATGGTACGCAGCATCATCTGGATATGTGTGCAACCAAAGTTCAACATTCACATTCTGCTACCATTTCTGTCAAGCAATGTACGCATGCAGTTTGATGCAAGCATTCGATAAATCCAAGGTATGCACCACGCAAAATGCACTGCACACGCACTGCAACTGCCTCTGCAATGCAATGCTGCAAGGCAATTGCAGTGTTCTATTGGAAATTAATATAGTTCTGGTGTACCAAAACGCAATGACACTGTCGGTGTGATCGAGGCATGAGCCTGTTGGTATCAGACCTCATGCTCCGATAACGTCTGCCCGACAATAAGGGAGTGAACAGCTTGTGGCTGGGGTGTGTGTTTCGAGTAGATGTCATGGATGGGTGGGAGCACAGTCCCAATGACGAACTGGGCCGTCTTCACCACCTGCTGGAGGGACTGAGCAATTCCCGTACCAGGCCGTGATCAGTCAGGACGCTCTCGATGGTGCAGCGGTAGTATTTGGAGAGGACCCTGGGTGGCATGCCAAATTTCTTCAACCGCCTTAGGAAGTAGAGGCACTGTTACGCCTGTTGTGTGTATTCCCAAATATATTTATACAGTAAATGCACAGGTGCGTAAGCATTCTCTATCTGTCTTATGTAAGCCTACACATGAGCACACACACACATATACACACACACACACACACACACAGTCTTGTACAACTAACCTTGTGGGGACACATAATTCAGTCCAATTCAAAATCCTATTTTCCCTAACCTTAACCCCAAAACCTAACCTTAACCCCAAAACCTAACCTTAACCCTAGCTCCTAACCCTAAAACTAACCCTAGCTCCAAACCCTAACTCTAATTCTAACCCTAACACTAACACTAATTCTAACCTAAATAGCATTTGACCTTGTGGGGACTAACAAAATGTCTGGTCCCCAAAAGTATAGTTTAACACGTTCACACACACACACACACACACACACACACACACACACACACACACACACACACACACACACACACACACACACACACACACACACACACACACACACACACACACACACAACCATTCAAAAGTTTGGGGTCACTTAGAAATGTCCTTGTTTTCCATGAAAACATACATGAAATGAGTTTGAATAGGAAATATAGCAAAATGCATAGGAAATGTAGTCATTGACAAGGTTAGAAATAATGATTTTTAATATAATTAATAATTGTGTCCTTCAAACTTTGCTTTCGTCAAAGAATCCTCCATTTGCAGCAATTACAGCCTTGCAGACCTTTGGCATTCTAGCTGTCAATTTGTTGAGGTAATCTGAAGAGATTTCACCCCATGCTTCCTGAAGCACCTCCTACAAGTTGGATTGGCTTGATGGGCACTTCTTACGTAGCATACGGTCAAGCTGCTCCCACAACAGCTCAATAGGGTTGAGATCCGGTGACTGTGCTGGCCACTCGTAATTGCATAGTTTGGAGCTGTGCTTTCAGTCATTGTCCTGTTGTAGGAGGAAATTGGCTCCAATCAAGCGCCGTCCACAGGGTATGGCATGTAATTGCAAAATGGAGTGATAGCCTTCCTTCTTCAAGATCCCTTTTACCCTGTACAAATCTCCCACTTTAGCACCACCAAAGCACCCCCAGACCATCACATTGCCTCAACCATGCTTGACAGATGGCATCAAGCACTCCTCCAGCATCTTTTCATTTGGTCTGCATCTCACAAATGTTCTTCTTTGTGATCCGAACACTCCAAACTTTGATTTGTCTGTCCATAACACTTTTTTCCAATCTTCCTCTGTCCAGTGTCTGTGTTCTTTTGCCCATCTTTTATTTCTATTGGCCAGTCTGAGATATGGCTTTTTCTTTGCAACTCTGACTAGAAGGTCAGCATCCCGGTGTCGCCTCTTCACTGTTGATGTTGAGACTGGTGTTTTGCGGGTACTATTTAATGAAGCTGCCAGTTGAGGACCTGTGAGGCGTCTGTTTCTCAAACTAGGCACTCTAATGTATTTGTCCTCTTGCTCAGTTGTGCACCGGGGCCTCCCAATCCTCTTTCTATTCTGGTTAGAGCCAGTTTGCACTGTTCTGTGAAGGGAGTAGTACACAGCGTTGTACGAGATCTTCAGTTTCTTGGCAATTTCTCACATGGAATAGCCTTAATTTCTCAAAACAAGACTGATGAGTTTCAGAAGAAAGTTATTTGTTTCTGGCCATTTTGATTCTGTAATCGAACCCACAATTGCTGATGCTCCAGATACTCAACTAGTCTCAAGAAAGCCAGTTTTATTGCTTCTTCAATCAGCACAACAGTTTTCAGCTGTACTAACATAATTGCAAAAGGGTTTTCTAATGATCAATTAGCCTTTTAAAATGATAAACTTGGATTAGCAAACACAATGTGGCATTGGAACACAGGACTGATGGTTGCTGATAATGGGCCTCTGTATGCCTATGTAGATATTCCATTAAAAATCAGCCGTTTCCAGCTACAATAGCCATTTATAACATTAACAATGTCTACACGGTATTTCTCAAGCTGTCTGGGAATTAGGGTGGGATAGTGCAGGGACTATGTGAGCAGGTGTTAACATAAACCCAGAGAAATTGATTTCAAAGCTATGCTGTCAAGGGATATATAATGTGGCAGCTGTGATATTACACCACTTTCCAGTTCAAAGGAAATGTTTTTTGTATTATCTACTTTTGTTTTTTGTAGTATCTACTGGCCAATATTTTAATGATACAATATTTCCTTTGTGTCATTATAAATTCATTTGGAGAATTTGGAAGGTCGTAAAGGAGACATCGGTGTTCAATGATGTTTGTGATACTAATATTATTGATATTGCAACCCTGTCTTCATCTCTTTGTTGCTTCTCCGATATTGACAACAAAAAGAATGAGGGCATCTTTTGACGATTGATTTAGATTAGAAGATGGGAAAATCAATTAAGTGAATTTCTATAGAATGATTGAATGATATGTATAATAAAAAAATGTAAGATGTTCTTTCTTTGTCCTTCTATACTGAACAAAAATATATATGTAAAGTGTTGGTCCCTTGTTTCATGAGCTGAAATAATAGATCCCAGAAATGTTCCATACGCACAAAAAACGTATTTCTCTCAAATTCTGTGTACAAATTTGTTTACATCCCTGTTAGTGAGCATTTCTCCTTTGCCAAGATAATCCATCCACCTGACAGGTGTGGCATATCAAGAAGCTGATTAAACAGCATGATCATTACACAGGTGCACCTTGTGCTGGGTACAATAAAAGGCCACTCTAAAATGCAGTTTTGTCACACAACACAATGCCACAGATGTCTCAAGTTTTGAGGGAGCGTGCAATTGGCATGCTGAATGCAGGAATTTCTCTACCATAAACCACCTCCAACAGCGTTTTAGAGAATTTGGCAGTACGTCCAACCGGCCATCACGTGAAACCACGCCAGCCCAGGACCTCCACATCCGGTTTCTTCACCTGCGGGATCGCCTGAGACCAGACACCTGGACAGCTAATGAAGCTGTGGGTTTGCATAACTGAAGGATTTCTGCACAAACTGTCAGAAACCGTCTCAGGGAAGCTCATCTGCGTGCTCGTCATCCTCACCAGGGTCTTGATCTGACCGCAGTTCAGCGTCGTAACCGATTTCAGTGGGCAAATGCTCACCTTCACTTACTGGCATGCTGGAGAAGTGTGCTCTTTATGGATGAATCCCGGTTTCAACTGTACTGGGCAGATGGCAGACAGCGTGTATGGCGTCGTGTGGGCGAGCGGTTTGCTGTTGTGAACAGAGTTCCCCATGGTGGCGGTGGGGTTATGGTATGGGCATGCATGAGCTATGGACAATGAACACAATTACAATTTACCAAGGGCAATTTTAATGCACAAGATCCTGAGGCCCATTGTTGTGCCATTCCTCCGCCGCCATCACCTCATGTTTCAGCATGATAATGCACGGCCCCATGTCACAAGGATCTGTAAACAATTCCTGTAAGCTGAAAATCTCCCAGTTCTTCCATGTCCTGCATACTCACCAGACATGCCACCCATTGAGCATGTTTGGGATGTACTTGATCAACGTATATGACAGTGTGTTCCAGTTCCCGCCAATATCCAGCAACTTTGCACTGCCATTGAAGAGCAGTGGGACAACATTCCACAGGCCACAATCAACAGCCTGATCAACTCTATGCAAAGGAGATGTCGCGCTGCATGAGGCAAATGGTGGTCACACCAGATACTGACTGGTTTTCTGATCCACGCCTCTACCTTTTTTTAAAGGTATCTGTGACCAACAGATGCATATCTGTATTCCCAGTCATGTGAAATCCATAGATTAGGGCCTAATGAATTTATTTAAATTGACTGATTTTCCTTATATGAACAGTAACTCAGTAAAATCTTAGAAATTGTTGCATGTTGTGTTTATATTTTTGTTCAGTGTAGATTTATGGAGTGTCCTTGTTCATTTGTTACATCAATGTGTAATTACGCTTCATTGATAGGACAAGTCTATAACATATTCATTGTCTCTGAACACTGCCCTTAATAGTCCTTCTGGACCCAGTCCCATTGGGACATCATGTATTTCGAACATGTTCCTTAACTGTACTGATTACAGGCATGGACATAGAATTACTAGAACGGACATACCCCCCAGACCACCGCCAGTTGACAGTACATCCATGCCCGTTCTAGTATTTCTATTTCTGCATATTTATATACCCCTCCAGTTGTTGTCCTGAGGAATGTCTGTCTCTGTGGTAATTCTCACAGCAGGGTACTGAGTGGTGTCTCTTTGTCTCTGTCTCTGGTCTGCAGGTGTGTGCTCTCTGTTTGGCAACAGCACGCTGCTCTACGTCTCCTACAAGAAGAAGCACCTGCTCAAACCAGCTGAGTTTTTCATTATCAACCTGGCCATCAGCGACATGGGTCTGACCCTGTCCCTCTACCCCATGGCCATCACCTCCAGCATCTACCACAAGTACTGTACACCCATGTTTACACCACAGAGCCAAGCCTAGCAAATATCTACCACAGGAACTGTACAAACCTTCAAATAATAGTGAAATAAGGTAGTACCCAGGTCTGGCACTGTTTCCTATTTACAGTGCCAAGCCAAGCTGCACTGTGCTGAGTCTGACCTGGTTACTCATCCACTGGATGCTCCTGGAAAGGATAATGTGAAAAATGACATTTTCAGGCCAGCACAGTGCAGTTCGGTTCAGCAGAATAGTATGAAAGACCCCATACAGACTTGCCAAGCCACAGTAACAGCCCATTGGAAAGGAAAGGAAATGCTTCACATCACATGTGATTGGCTCCTGTACTTCACAGACACACTATTAAAAAATCCTGTTTTTTAAGGTAACTTACTGGCAGCCAGTTGCCTATAAATGACTGTAAATAAAGGTACAGTAAGTTAACGTAAAAACAACAAGATTTTGTATTTTTTACAGTGAAGAGAAGGAGGAAACGGTAGTGTTTTGACTGAAGGTTTTGATGTCTAACGCTGGCCGTATGCCACCACACTGTGTAAAGGCAGATTAGTAAAGGTGTTGGGTTTGGATTAAAAACGATCCTCTCCAATTGTCATGGTTCAATTAGCTTTCTGGTTTGGTCGTGTGGTGACAGGTCCTGCTTTATACTGTACATTGAATGGTCAGTGTGTTCTCTCACTCTCTCTTTCTTGCTCTCTTTTTCTCACTCTCTCCCTCTACTCCCTATCTGACCCCTCCCTCTCTCTCTCTCTCTCCCTATCTGAACCCCCTACCCCCTCTCAGGTGGCTGTTTGGGAAACCGGTGTGTTTGATCTACGCGTTCTGCAGCGTGTTGTTTGGGATCTGCAGTCTGACCACTCTCACCATGTTGAGCATGGTGTGTTTTGTGAAAGTATGTTATCCTCTCTATGGTAAGTCATCAAAGAGCCTGGCCCTAGTCTTGCCCATGGAATTGACAGAGGATTAGTGAAAGTCGACACTAAGTGGTTGACTGTTGATTTATTGATGGGGCGAAATCGAAAGTTCAAAGGAACTAGATAATCAAAAGAACTAGATAATTCCTCAGCGACCGAACAAACATCAGCCACTGCTTTGATGGCTGACAAGTCCACTTGCGACTGACTAGCCAACATTCAATTAGTATGGCTTGTGATGTTGGTAAAAATTGTGCCATCCAGCTTTAGATTCAGCGTTGTCCTCTGAGAATTAATATTTTTTGGGAAATGGTACTGAAAAATGGAATCTGCATACGATACTTGGATATTTTAGCCGGAGGCACGCTCAACCAACTTAAACAAATTAGCTATTCATTTATTCTTTCATTGCTGTTCTTTTAAAATGTGGCCTAGTACATAATGGGCCAGTTATCCATGTATTTAGTATGTGCACCATAACATACCCAGGGCTAGAAATTGAGAAAATCACTCTGGGAGCATTCAAAACAGTTCTGAAAAATGTGTACCTGTCAAAATATTCCCCTATGACATTTTCACTTTGAGAAATCCCCCCCTGTACTTATCAGAATCTCTAATGATGACCATGCTATCCTATTAAAACGGACTGTCCGTCTCCCCATCCATCTCTCCATCCATCCATCTCCCCATCCATCCATCCTTCCCACCACCCATCCTTGTCCCCATCCATCCATCTCTCCATCCTCCATCTCCATCCTTCCTTCCTTCCCCATCTTTCTCTCATCCATCCATCCTTCCTTCCATCCTTCCATCCATCCATCCATTCATCCATCCATCCATCCATCCATCCATCCATCCATTCATCTCCCCCATCCATCCTTCCCATCCATCTCCCCATCCATCCCCCTTCCACCCCCCCATCTCTCTATCTATCCATCCATCAATCAATCCATCCATCCATCCATTCAGGTAACCAGTTCAACCCGGGGCATGGCCGTCTTCTGATAGCCTGTGCGTGGGTCTGGGCCCTTGTGTTCGCCTTCTCCCCTCTGGCCCACTGGGGTGAGTACGGTCCAGAGCCATATGGCACAGCCTGCTGCATCAACTGGCGCCTGTCCAACCTGCAGCACGTGGCCCGCTCCTACACGATGGCGCTCTTTATCTTGTGTTACATCGTGCCTTTGTGCATCATCGTGGTGTCCTACGCGGGCATCCTGATGACGGTTCGAGCCTCCCGTAAGGCCATGGAACATCACGAGGCCCGGCCGGCCAAGATGAGCAACATCCAGGCTGTTATTGTGAAGGTGAGCACTGAGTCTCACAGGGGTACTGTAAAGCATGTTGTGACAACTGTTGATTTTAAAAAGGGATAAATATATTTGATTGGTTGATTATTGAATTTCGGAAGAAAAATTCAATTGCGTATTGTATAGTCACTACTAAGGCCACTTCACATAATAGGAGGTTTGTATAGGTTAATGTCATGAACAGGATGCTCAGAGCTTGCCTGGTTACCCAAACTCCTTGCTCCGGCCAAACGCTACGCCACGCCCACGGACATTAGTTTCTTCTCTGGATTTGAGTACTTCCCCGACGAGTTCTAGAACGCAACCACATTATAACCGTTCTGATTGGTCCCAGAAACCGATGGGTTGGGCCAGAGCCAGAACACACATAGGTAAAGCGGCATTTTGAGAATTCTTTGATACTGATTGGTTAGAGATGATCCAATCGCTGATGACTTTGTTTTGTACAACACCACAAACGACTTCAACGATGGCAGTCTCAGACTGAAGTATACAGCGAACATAGAGCAGCGGAAAAATTCAGTTTGAGTCGTCAGGCAAGCTCAGTGCAGGAAATGGTTTAGGATTATTAAATACTTCGCTTTATGTAGTCCTCCCCTTTTGCTCTCTTTCCTGTCTCTCTCTTTCCCCCTTTCTCATTCCCTCTCTCTTTCACGCTCTCTCCTTTATTGCTGTGTCCCTGTATAATCACTCCCATAGGAGCTTTATTAAAGCACTCATCCTCTCCCAGTCCTGTACAGTACAGTATGTGCCGTGAATGCAACACACACACACCTCTTCCTGCTACCAGCCCAGCTCCAGGGGGGATGGCTCCCCTCCCCACTCACACCTGGGATTGATGCAAATCTTATTATCAGGAAACCCACTCTGGTTGGGGACTCTTCTCTGAGGCGTGATTCCAACGCCATCCGCCATATTAAAAAAAGAGGGTCAAGGGGTCAGAATTAAACAAATTTAGAGGAGCGAAGCGACGGGTGAAATATTTTTTTATATCAAAAGCTTCGCCTCAGAGACAGATGACTCTCTGTAAAGCTCAGCTCCATCTCTCTCTCCATTTCTCTCGCTCTCTCTCTCCCTGAGGTTGGAAGTGACCTCAATAAATCCACTAGTGATGGGAGCTTTTCGTTAGAGGGATTTGGCTACAGTTATACAGGAATACATTATGATGGATGTGGAGTCGGGTGCCTGCTGCACCCGCAGCTTAGTGGTCATCATCAGCCACAGTCTTCCTTGCTATAAATTTGGCCCGTGATCCATATGAGAACGCTTCACCTATACCTTTTTACTCTCTTCATCCAATCAATGGCAGTCAGATAGGGTGTGATGTCCCTCGCTCTAACCTTGATGTTAAAAGAATCTCAATGGCCTGTTTAAATCGTTCAATCCTCGGGAGTCAGTCAGTTGTGTATGGAGTACCGAGTGCACTAAAAAGCCATCTGCCAATAGATCTTCTTAAACTGTTAACCAAGTGTGCAAGTTCTCCCCACTTAAAAAGATGAGAGAGGCCTGTATTTTCATCATAGGTTACCACTGTCAACTATGACATACCCAAATGAAGGAAAAAAACCAGAAATTCCCATTGTAGATTTTTAATGAATTTATTTGCAAATTATGGTGGAAAAATAAGTATTGGTCAATCAACAAAAGTTTCTCCAATACTTTGTTATATACCCTTTGTTGGCAATGACACAGGTCAAACGTTTTCTGTAAGTCTCACAAGTTTTCATACACTGTTGCTGGTATTTTGCCATTCCTCCATGCAGATCTCCTCTAGAGGCAGTGATGTTTTGGGGCTGTCGCTGGGGCAACACGGACTTTCAACTCCCTCCAAGATTTTCTATGGGGTTGGATCTGAGACTGGCTAGCCACTCCAGGACCTTGAAATGCTTCTTACGAAGCCACTCCTTCGTGCCGGGCCGGTGTGTTTGGGATCATTGTCATGCTGAAAGACCCAGCCACGTTTCATCTTCAATTGCCCTGCTGATGGAAGGAGGTTTTCACTCAAAATCTCACGATACATGGCCCCATTCATTCTTTCCTTTACACGGATCAGTCGTCCTGGTCCCTTTCCAGAAAAACAGCCCCAAAGCATGATGTTTCCACCCCCATGCTTCACAGTAGGTATGGTGTTCTTTGGATGCAACTCAGCATTCTTTGTCCTCCAAACACGACGAGTTGAGTTTTTACCAAAAAGTTATATTTTGGTTTCATCTGACCATATGACATTCTCCCAATCCTCTTCTGGATCATCCAAATGCACTCTAGCAAACTTCAGACGGGCCTGGACATGTACTGGCTTAAGCAGGGGGACACGTCTGGCACTGCAGGATTTGAGTCACTGGCGGCGTAGTGTGTTACTGATGGTAGGCTTTGTTACTTTGGTCCCAGCTCTCTGCAGGTCATTCACTAGGTCCCCCCGTGTGGTTCTGGGATTTTTGCTCACCGTTCTTGTGATCATTTTGACCCCACGGGGTGAGATCTTGCGTGGAGCCCCAGATCGAGGGAGATTATCAGTGGTCTTGTATGTCTTCCATTTCATAATAATTGCTCCCACAGTTGATTTCTTCAAACCAAGCTGCTTACCTATTGCAGATTCAGTCTTCCCAGCCTGGTGCAGGTCTACAATTTTGTTTCTGGTGTCCTTTGACAGCTCTTTGGTCTTGGCCATAGTGGAGTTTCGAGTGTGACTGTTTGAGGTTGTAGACAGGTGTCTTTTATACTGATAACAAGTTCAAACAGGTGCCATTAATACAGGTAACGAGTGGAGGACAGAGGAGCCTCTTAAAGAAGAAGTTACAGGTCTGTGAGAGCCAGAAATCTTGCTTGTTTGTAGGTGACCAAATACTTATTTTCCACCATAATTTGCAAATAAGTTCATTAAAAATCCTACAATGTGATTTTCTGGAATTTTTTTTCTCAATTTGTCTGTCATAGTTGACGTGTACCTATGATGAAAATTACAGGCCTCTCATCTTTTTAAGTGGGAGAACTTGCACAATTGGTGGCTGACTAAATACTTTTTTTCCCCACTGTATAACATTTGCTCTCTCGCTCTCTCTCTTTCCTTCCCCCTTTTTCTGTCCTATTGTTTCTTTTTCTCCTCCAGCTGAGTGTTGCTGTCTGTGTCGGTTTCTTCACAGCGTGGAGCCCTTATGCCGTGGTGTCGATGTGGGCAGCATTTGGACACATGGAGAACATCCCACCGTTGGCATTCGCCATACCAGCAATGTTTGCCAAGTCCTCCACCATCTACAACCCCATCATCTACCTGCTGCTCAGGCCCAACTTCCGCAGGGTGATGTACCGGGATCTGGTGAGCTTTCGCAGGGCCTGTCTGAAGGGCTGCCTGTGCTCCTGCTCCCAAGGCGCTGTGGGGAAGTGCCGCTCCGGCTCTGTGGTCCAGGTCAGCCTCCGGTCACTCCGCAGACCACCAGGACACGACCAGTCCTGTTCCACCACCTCATCCGCCAACCAAGCCCTCGCCGGGAACAGAGGTTGCAGCAGCGCCTGCGAGAAGTGCAGCGACGCCTTCGAGTGCTTCAGACACTGCCCCAGAGATTGCCATGGTGGCACCAACCCCCCCAGCTCCTCAGTCAACACTAATGCACCTCAGGATCAGCTCTCAACAGATCCCCAGCTGCAGCCACTGACGCAGAAACCGACACGGAAGCAGAGGCAGAAGCATAAAAAACCGGAGGCCTGTCACAAGAAGTCCCTGCGAGCCACCATGCGCGGCAAAAGGACCTCGGAGATCGTCAACCTTCAGATGAACTTGGAGATGGTGCCGGGACACGCTAAAGTTGCCTGGCCCTAGAATGTTTTATATGCATTCTCTGGTTTTATATTTTTTCCATCTCTGATATACACTACCGGTCAAACATTTTAGAACACCTACTCATTTATTTTTGCTATTTTCTACATTGTAGAATAATAGTGAAAACATCAAAACTATGAAATAACACATGGAATCATGTAGTAACCAAAAAAATGTTAAACAGATCAAAATATATTTTATGTTTGAGATTCTTCAAATAGCCACCCTTTGCCTTGATGATAGCTTTGCACACTCTTGGCATTCTCTCAACCTGCTTCACCTGGAATGCTTTTCCAACAGTCTTGAAGGAGTTCCCACATATGCTGAGCTCTTGTTGGCTGCTTTTCCTTCACTCTGCGGTCCGACTCATCCCAAACCATCTCAATTTGGCTGAGGTCGGGGGATTGTGGAGGCCAGGTCATCTGATGCAGCACTCCACCACTCTCCTTCTTGGTAAAATAGCCCTTACACAGCCTGGAGGTGTGTTGGGTCATTGTCCTGTTGAAAAACATATGACAGTCCCACTAAGCCCAAACCAGATGGGATGGCGTATCGCTGCAGAATGCTGTGGTAGCCATGCTGGTTAAGTGTGCCTTGAATTCAAAATAAATCACAGACAGTGTCACCAGCAAAGCACCCCCACACCATAACACCTCCTCCATGCTTTACGGTGGGACCTACACATTCGGAGATCATCCGTTCACCCACACCGCGTCTCACAAAAACACGGCGGTTGGAACCATCAATCTCCAATTTGGACTCCAGAACAAAGGACACATTTCCACCGGTCTATTGTCCATTGCTCGTGTTTCTTGGCCCGAGCAAGTCTCTTCTTATTATTGGTGTCCTTTAGCAGTGGTTGCTTTGCAGCAATTCGACCATGAAGGCCTGATTCACGCAGTCTCCTCTGAACAGCTGATGTTGAGATGTGTCTGTTACTTGAACTCTGTGAAGCATTTATTTGGGCTGCAAATTCTGAGGCTGGTAACTCTAATGAACTTATCCTCTGCAGCAGAGGTAACTCTGGGTCCTCCTTTCCTGTGGCGGTCCTCATGAGAGTCAGTTTCATCATAGCGCTTGATGGTTTTTGTGACTGCACTTGAAGACACTTTCAAAGTTCTTGAAATGTTCTGTATTGACTGACTTTCATGTCTTAAAGTAATGATGGACTGTCATTTCTCTTTGCTTATTTGAGCTGTTCTTGCTATAATATGGACTTGTTCTTTTACCAAATAGGGCTATCTTCTGTATACCACCCCTACCTTGTCACAACTGATTGGCTCAAACGCATTAAGAAGGAAAGAAATTCCACAAATTAACTTTTAAGAAGGCACACCTGTTAATTGAATTGCATTCCAGGTGATTACCTCATGAAGCTGGTTGAGAGAATGCCAAGAGTGCACAAAGCTGTCATCAAGGCAAAGGGTGGTTATTTGAAGAATCTTAAATATAAAATATATTTAGATTTGTTTAACACTTTTTTGGTTACTACATGATTCCATATGTGTTATTTCATAGTTTTGATGTCTTCACTATTATTCTACAATGTAGTAGTAAAAAATTAAGAAAAACCCTTGAATGAGTAGGTGTTCTAAAACTTTTGACCGGTAGTATATATTTTGCAGTTGGTATTTTAAATTATGGAATTCATTTAAATATGTTTACATATCTTTATTTATTTATCTGTCAAAATAGACAGTGACTTTGTTGAAATGTACTTAGTAAAATCCTGGGTTGTCCCTCAGGGATTAATGTGGCTGGAGGAGAACACAGTGAAACAAAAGGGAACCCCATCATCCTCAGAAGGATCGGGACAGAAACCAAGGTACAATACTGTTTCCTGTGTGCGGCAATAAACGGTTTGACACATGACGATGGAAAGCGAAACCCACTTTGACATCAGTTCCACTTCCTCTATAATCCCATTTCTAACCAGCGTTTACATTTGTCTAATACAGGTACATATACAGTAGGTGCTGGATTTTTTATGTTGGTTCAGTACAGCATGGCTTAACTCAACATGTATAAAGGATATCGATGAGAGAGACAGAGAGATAGAATCAACCAAAGTCATAATCAAACAGCTGAAGATACTGATATTCACTCAACAATAAGCACTACAGCATACTGTGTATATAAGCGCAACAGGGAGAGGAGAAAGGGCGAGCAAGGCAATTAACCAAGTACAAATTGAGCAACTGTAGATAGTCAAATTCAGAGAGTGAGAGAGAGGAATGGGTTAGAAAAAAACAAGAGAAAACAGATGTGTGGTATTGACACATTGTGAACCGTGTTGTGTATGAAAAGTGTGTTTAAAATATGCATGGAAGTCATCGGCATGGGATGTCCTCCATTGCACAGTCCAAAAAATGACTTGACCAATTTTACAAGCTGTCGATTCCTTCCAATCATGTTACAAGGCATTGAATCTTCCTCCTGTTTTCCACAGCTGAACTAACAGTACTGTAGCACTTTGCCATGCACCTTCTCTCTCTGGGTAACTGTATTGAAATCTGTTGTTTAATAATTAATTTAATTGCTAACTGGCCTATTTGAGAAACTAATGAGGAAAGTTTTTTTTTTTAGTCTTCGTTAAAGTAAATATAGGTTACATTATTCGCATTATTTATGGGGGGTCAATTGGAACAAAGTTTAATTTAAATATCCATAAATCTGATAGAATGTAATTATAGGGTGGAAAACAGACGCTAATCCATATTTGCATTCGCTGATTTATTCATTAATCATTAATGCAGATTAATTTTCTCCTGTTTCCAAAAGGGATTAACAGGCTCCAGCCTTGATAAGAATGTTAGCATTACGATATGGGAAGGTTTATACAAAACATGAATCAATGCCTTTAAAAAATGTCGAGCTTATCTCTTATTCATCCCTGATCCTTTTTAAAACATGCAATTAAAACAGTGTTTCGCAGCAGCCCATCAGGCGTGTGGTGGTTAGATAGAGATGGCCCACTGGGGATGGATCTGGGATCGGATGGGTCTGACTCAGAGGAGAAGCTTCCTGAACACAGCAGCTGATGGTCTTCTAATCAAATGCATCTAGGCTCTACCCAAGTTCCTGTTGTTGCTTGCTGTCTGGCCAAACGAAATCTGGGCACTACCCAAATAAAATGTTATTGGTCGTGTACACATATTTTGCAGATGTCATCGCGGGTGTAGAGAAATGCTTGTGTTCCTAGCTCCAACAGTGCAGTAATACCTAACAATGCACACAAATCCAAAAAAGAATAAGGAAATAAGAAATATCAGAACGAGCAATGTCAGAGTATGGAATATAAATATATATTCAGTACCAGTCAAATGTTTGGACACACCTACTCACTCAGGGTTTTTCTTTATTTTTTACTATTTTCTAAATTGTAGAATAATAGTGAAGACATCAAAACCATGAAATAACACATATGGAATCATGTAGTAACCAAAATAGTGTTCAAAAAAATCAACATTTATTTTATATTTTAGATTCTTCAAAAGTAGCCACCCTTTGCCTTGATGACTGCTTTGCACACTCTTGGCATTCTCTCAACCAGCTTCATGAGGTAGTCACCTGGAATACATTTCAATTAACAGGCGTGCGTTGTTAAAAGTGAATTTGTGGAATTTCTTTCCTTCTTAATGCGTTTGAGCCAATTAGTTGTGACAAGGTAGGGGTGGTATACAGAAGATAGCCCTATTTGGTAAAAGACCAAGTCCATATTATGGCAAGAACTGCTCAAATAAGCAAAGAGAAACGACAGTCCATCATTACTTTAAGACATGAAGGTCAGTCAATCCGGAAAATTTCAAGAACTTTTACAGTTTCTTCAAGTGCAGTCACCACAGGAAAGGAAGACCCAGAGTTACCTCTGCTGCAGAGGATAAGTTCATTAGATTGCAGCCCAAATAAATCCTTCACAGAGTTCAAATAACAACACATCTCAACATCAACTGTTCAGAGACTGCTTGAAATCAGGCCTTCATGGTCGAATTGCTGCAAATAAACCACTACTAAAGGACACCAATAAGAAGAAGAGACTTGCTTGGACCAAGAAACACGAGCAATGGACATTAGACTGGTGGAAATCTGTCCTTTGGTCTGAGTCCAAATTTGAGATTTTTGGTTCCAACCGCAGTGTCTTGTGAGACGCAGAGTAGGTGAACGGATGATTTCCGCATATGTGGTTCACACCATGAAGCATGGAGGAGGAGGTGTGATGGTGTGGGGTAGCTTTGCAGGTGACACTGTCAGTGATTTATTTAGAATTCAAGGCACACTTAACCAGCATGGCTACCACAGCATTCTGCAGCGATACGCCATCCCATCTGGTTTGCGCTTAGTGGGACTATCATTTGTTTTTTAACAGGACAATAACCCAAAACACACCTCCAGGCTGTGTAAGGGCTATTTGACCAAGGAGAGTGATGGAGTGCTCCATCAGATGACCTGGCCTCCATAATCACCTGACCTCAACCCAATTGAGATGGTTTGGGATGAGTTGGACAGCAGAGTGAAGAAAAAACAGCCAACAAGTGCTCAGCATATGTGGGAACTCCTTCAAAACTGTTGGAAAAGTATTCCTTATGAACCTGGTTGAGAGAATGCCAAGAGTCTGTAAAGCTGTCATCAAGGCAAAGGGTGGCTACATTGAAGAATCTCAAATATAAAATATTGTATTTGTTTAACACTTTTTTGGTGACTACATGATTCCATGTGTTATTTCATAGTGTTGATGTCTTCACTATTATTCTACAATGTAGAAAATAGTAAAAATAAAGAAAAACCCTTGAATGAGTAAGTGTGTCCAAACTTTTGACTGGTACTGTAGGTATTCCTCTTGTCCAGATAGGATAAGGCAGTGTGCAGTGCGATGGCAATTGCGTCATCTGTGGATCTGTTGGGGCGGTATGCAAATTAGGTGGGTCTAGGGTGTTGGGTAAGGTGGAGGTGATATGATTCTTAGCCTCTCAAAGCACTTCATGATGACAAGTGAGTATCCAAGTCCTGTTGTGGCTGTCTGGATACACAAGTTCATCATCTGTCCTGGTCAGGAAAAACCATAGAATTGGAATTAAGACTACTAATAATAGTAAATTTAATAGGATCTCTATGGGAAAAACACTATTGGCCCCATTTAATGTTTTCTGGTGCTTCAAGCGAGAATGGTATATCCACATTTAGAAGATGTGTGAGGGCTACATTAATACCGATCGCCCCTTTTCAGCTATGCACCTAGCATGACTTAGTGAGTCATGGACTACAAACAACTAGATTGCTTAACAACAATTATGACAAAACTCACTTTTCCCTAAACAGACTTTATTTTAAAAAACAGTGAAAAGTGACAACACCAGCTCTTTTTGAAATGCCTCTCTGACACACATATGAGCATACACACACACATTTAAGCGTATGTGCACACGCATGCACACTACTAACTGCTACTGCCAACCGTGAAAATAACATACAAGCACGCACCAAAGCACATTCATTGACGTACAAACAGAGTCATGTCCAAGAGCAGACATTATGGCGGAAAATAGACCTGCAGTGCATGAATGCTGTTCTGTATCACAAAAACACTACAATAGTTCATTTAAACTAGCCTAGAGACAGAAGTTTCAATAACAGCAGCACACTGATAGGACCTTTAATCTGTCAAATTGGTAATTGCCTCAACAAAATTCATATGCATTTATGTCTCATTTGCCGTACACTGGGGTAACTAACTGTCATGCATGGAGGAGCAAATTCCTGCCTGGTAGCTGTATGGGATAAATAGTGTAAGGTTGGAGCCCTTCGACGAGGCTGGTTCCCCATGATTATGAGACAAACCTGACAAGGAATACATGCAGTCTGCTGCCCTCTAGAGGAGAGCAGGTCAGCAACAACGTCTATGTTGGTCAAGTCACGTGGTTGTTGTACACAGGATGGCTGTCTCTTTGTTCTGTTCTTGGAAAGCTACTGTACATAGTGTGCTTTTGTACTACTGCAGACCTAAATAATCAAGGTCTCGAATTTTGATGATTAAATCAGGGTGTGTTGGTGCTGGACTCGAACAAATGGCTGCACAGCCATAGAATTACAATGAGTTAATTCTATGTCTATGGGCACTGACTGCACACCATGTAGCTCGCCTAGGCCAAGGTTCATTATACTGGAAGGATTATATATTTTTTTTAATGTCCACTTCAGTTTTTCTTTGGTGCTTATAAAAATATTAAAATCAAATATGAATAGAAACATATTTTTGATTGTGGGTGTACTGGATTTTAGAACGTACTGTACCACAGATCAAATTGGTCTCTGAGTTCATAGCAGATGTGTCCAATCCAAAGGCTTGTTTGAGCCAAGTGATTAACTCTTTGAAAGACTGACAGGTAGTTTAATTAAAGAAGATGACACTGTCAGTTAAATTGGGAGTTTACGAGGGTGTGGTGACAGGTTTCGAATGTGTTTAATGGTCATGTTGACAAGGCACTAGAACTGCTTTAAGACCCCAACATGTTTACAATTTAGGAGATGTGGATGTAGTTTAAAGCGTCAATCAGCAGTTGAAACAATAACAAAGCGTTTTCTCCGCCCCTGTTTTGGTAAAAAGCTGAGGGATGGGGCTGGAGAAATGTAACCACTCAAATTCATAGACAGCTATGGATGTAAGGACTGACCATCCATGATATCAAAATTATAGTTTTAACCATGTTTTGAGGCTGTATAGTGTTTGTTTACATTTACTTTGTTTACAAACATTGGAGTAAAACAAGCTTATATTTTGAGTTCTGAGTGGCATACTACGAAACAAGCTAGACCTACTCAGACTTTTATAAAGCTAGCCAGCTTCAGTTAGCTTCACATTCCAGCTCAGGCTTCATCCGTACTACGACGGTGGATATTGCTTGTCTGCCTGCCGCTAACTTTAGCAGGCTTGTAACTTCGTGTGTATGTCACACGTCTAGTCGAAGGCCGAACTCTTCACTGAGACAATGCTGAAACATTAATCCAAGGGCGAGTCAGTGACACATTTTCATTTGTGCCGAAATCAAAATGAAAGAAAAGGTTATATAGAAAATTCAGCAGGCTATGGTGTGAAATAGGCTTTTTATTACTTATTGTTAATGCCATCTTTGGTGTGCTAATCCAGGTGTAAAAATAAGTATAAATCCCATGACTGAAACTTACGTCGATCTCAGATCAATTGTCTGGGGCCAAGTTAACCTCCCCTTTCATGTAAGAAAGTCATGACCATCATGCTTTTATGGAAAGAGGATCATTGTATTAAACTGCGAGTTTGACCAATTCCAGTCCCCTTGCTTACGGGGTCCGGAGTCCTCCCCGGGATAATTTGTATGTATAAGGACTGAAAAGCTCTGTTCTGGTAACTTTTTAAAAGGACATTCTACTCCAAAATTAATCAAAATAAAATCATGCTGCACCATCTAAAATGTATTTTCCACCTACAGAAAAATCGGCCCAATAACATATTGGTAAAAATGAAGTTTAAATTATTTTAACATATTGGACCATGCATATAGCCTGTGCCTGCTCTATATTATCAGATGTGCTATTAGCAATAAGCATTATCACCTGTAGCCTAACTGATGCAGCATAGGGGCTATAAAATGTATATGATGAAGCATGGGGTTTGTCCATCTGCATTTACCCCATTGGACACAACATCCTGATTGTTATTATTAACAATTATTTTATTATAAATATGAATATATAGATAATTATGATTCACTCTAAAAATGTTGGGGTTTCTATTACAAAGTATGTCATTGCCGTTTTAAGACGCCATTGCCACTTTGAGAGCTCTGTTAAGCATCTGCGCCTATAAGCCAACTTATGCGTGATCCAAAAATGTGGTCGGAGGCGTCGTATGGATGGTGGGACGCAATTGCAGAGCCTCTTGAGGCATGCAGAGGCTAAATAGAAGCCAATAGAAGGAGTAGAGAAATAAAAATGGTAGCAATGTAAAACTGGGATGCCCCTCATTTATTAACAAAGGCCAAAACTGCTTTCAAAATCCATTTCCCAAAAATGCTTTCAAAAGTTTGCATTAAGAATTGTTGTGCATTGAATGCTTGTCAGAATATGTTTCCCTCCCATGGCTCTCCCAACTTGAATGCACCTCGAGAGGAATAATACTCTTGCATAGAACACACAACAACAAGCCGACTAGGTAAATAGGTAAACTATTCTACTATGGGGTTGTCCAATTTAGTTTTAATAACAACATTACATGGCAAAAATAGTAGCACTGGAAAGTTACCTTCTGAGTGATAAAGTGTAGGCTTTGAATGACTTTGCCAGCAGCTACAGTAGGTTACACACCACTGTTTGAGTGTCAGCAACAATCATCATGCATGTCAGTTCAGTCCAGACTAACTGAGAAAATAAAATATTTGAAAAGAAATGTATTTGGTAATATATTTAGTAGAACAAACATGCTTCTGTCTGTATTAGGCTGTCATTTCCAAAATGACCTCTTCAGAATCCATGACGGAAATCCGTCGCAGTGACGGAGAACTTTAACCCCTGCTTATCAATGCACGAGCACCTTTCCCCCCCACTCCTATCGATAAAGTAATTGTATTAAGTCATACAAAAGTTTTACTGTGCGTGAAGTTTCAAATGCATTATGTCATTACTAAATGTGTAATGTGATAGGTATTTTAACATTACTATTAAAACATTTTAAAAATGTGATTAATAAAATATTTACTCAGTCATCTTCCTCAAATTAAGGGGATGATGACGCAATCTTTGCAAGAGGGATGGAATCTGATTTTATTGGTCCTCAACTCGAAGCTCAGACACTTCATTCAGGACAATGGAGTTAGCCCTGAGTTATGCAGTGTTCAAAACAACTGGGAACTTGGAACTCGACTCTGACCTCCGACTTCAGTGCGTTCAAAACAACAAGGAACTCAGAAAAAAACGCACTCCGACTGGGGAAAAAAACTATTTGAACGATCATCCAACTCGGAGTTCCAACTTGGGTCTCTTTCTAGAGCTCCGACCTGAAGATCACTGACGTCATGATTTGACCTCGTATTTTTCAGAGTTCCCAGTTGTTTTGAGAGCGGCATTAGCCTGCCCGGAGCAGGTTAGATCTGAAGGATTCATTGCCATTGAAATGTCCCTGGCTAAAAGGTGAGCCACTTTCGTGGTACCTGTTATCCCGAGTTGAAATCAGAGTTGACCAAAGTTACCTCGCTAACTTGGTGTGCTTATCAATACACAAGCACCCTTTTTCCACTCCTATCGCTCCCTCTTCTATCTGTGGAACAGCTTGTTGCAGTGTGGCTTCAGACATATAATCCATAGAAGGATTTTAGAACCTCTAACCTTGGCAATTTGACTGTTAAACTCATGGGTACACTAGCAATGGCTTCCAGTCTTGACTTGAATGGGAACTGCCATCTATGGATTATATGTCTATGGTTGGATGCGGCTGTTGCAAATTTGAAAATACAATCACACGAAAAACGTAGTTTGGAAAGCCAATGCTGTCATTACTATGTGTAATGTGATAGGTTTTTTAAAAATATTTTACACACAAAAAACATTTGAATAATACAAATATTTAAATCAGTCATCTTCTTCAAATGAATGGGATGATGACAATCTTTGCAGGGAGGGTATCTGATTTCATAATTCCTCAACTCGTGGCTCAGACACTTAATTCAGGGTAAATGGAGATAGCCCCGAGTTAGCCTGCCCCGGAACAGGTTTGTTCTGAAGGATTCGTTGCCATAGAAATGTACCTGGCTAAAAGTTGAGCCACATTCGTGGTACCGGTAATCGCGAGTTGAACTCGGAATTGACCAAGGTTACCTCCCCAACTCCTCAAACCTGATTCGTAGTATAGGCAGGCCTCTGATGCGGCACGACAGTTGAACTAAGCTCATGAAGCATTTATAAGTTCTTTCTTCAAGAATCAATGGGTACATTTCATTAACTTAAGTCCAGAAATGGATGTAGCAACTGCAGATTGCCCCTTTAAAGCAAATACTTGAATTTGGGGTTGGCAATGTTTATTTCAGATTGGAATGGTGTATTTGGGCTGCTACACTCATATCCATATCATATGGCAAGAAAATTCCACCCAGACTACCTTACAGTAATTAAGTGGTTCAAAGTCAATACTAACTACTCAACTCACAGTCATTAAACGTTAGATTGGTTGGTAGGAGTGGAAGGGTGTGGGTGGGGTGCTGGAGTCGATAGTAATCCCTCTGGTATAGGGTTAGGGGGAATGGAATACAGTTGATACAGGCTATTGTACCTACAGAGAACTGTTGGTCCTGCTGGAGTGCAGAAGCCTCTTCACCAGGTCGATTTTAACACAGTTCTCCAGGGCTCTGCAGAGCCGGCCCACGGTGCAGCCCACAGAGCCCTCCTTCATCCTCCAACGCTCCAGCATCTGGTGCACCTTTTCAGGCAGCCCGTCACGATGGAAGTCATGGTCAATGGTCTCCACCTCCACCTCGCTCAGGCCCAGACGACGGGCGCAGCGCTTCCAGTCCCTCCCAATGTTATCTCTCAGGAGATCCAGGTGCTCCTCAGTCACAGCCTGGTCCTCTGAACACGGGACAGGACACAACAGAACATATTGTATAACATGGAAGTTAAAGCCCTGTTCTGTGATATTAACAATAATTTTTTATCATTTACTGTCAATTAATGATACATACCCATTGACTGTTGAATAATATAACTTATACATTCCCCATTGTCTTAGATTAACTATCCAACCCAATTATAACCTCAAATATATACTGAACAAAAATATAAATGCAACATGCAACAATTTCAAAGATTTTACTGAGTTACAGTTCATATCAGGAAATCAGTCAATTGAAATAAATGCAATAGGCACTAATCTATGGATTTCACATGATTGGGAATACAGGTATGCATCTGTTGGTCAGACACCTTATAAAAAAATGGGCCTCGCAATGGGCAACAGGATCTCGTCACGGTATTTTTGCGCATTCAAATTGCCATCCATAAAATGCAATTGTGTTTGTTGTCCGTAGCTTATGCCTGCCCATACCATAACCCCACCGCCATCATGGGGCACTCTGTTCACAAAGGAGACATCAGCAAACCGCTCGCCCACACGACACCATGCACATGGTCTGCGGTTGTGAGGCCGGTTGAACGTACTGCCAAATTCTCTAAAATGACATTGGAGGCAGCTTATGGTAGAGACATTAACATTAATTTCACTGGCAATAGTTTTGGTGGACATTCCAGCAGTCAGCATGCCAATTGCACACTCCCTCAAAACTTGAGACATCTGTGGCATTGTGTTGTGTGACAAAACTGCACATTTTAGAGTGTCCTTTTATCGTGGCCAGCACAAGGTGCACCTGTGTAATGATCATGCTGTTCAATCTGCTTCTTGATATGCCACACCTGTCAGATGGATGGATTATCTTGGCAAAGGAGAAATGCTCACTAACAGGGATGTAAACACATTTGTGCACACAATTTGAGAGAAATAAGCTTTTTGTGTATATGGAACATTTCTGGGATCTTTTATTTCAGCTCATGAAACATGGGACCAACACTTTACATGTTGCGTTAATAATTTTGTTCAGTGTAAATTTGTAAACAAACAATGCATTGATTAATGGTTTTATGGTACATTTTGTGGTTCCCTTCCTGAACCATATGAGCATAGAACCCCTCTATTGTGGCCAAATGCAAAATATGGGACTAGTAAAAAACATGACATAGACAAATAGGAAGCTGATGTCTATTTTCAGGAAGTAGGCTCCTCTTTGCAGGATGTATTCTACTCTTACCATACATCTGCAGGTTTTCTTTGAGCAGAGAGAGTGAGTTTGCCCCGTTGGAGAGAGTGCTGGCTAAGCTGCTGTTGAATTCATGACCCCTGATGCTGAGTGTGTTGTTGCTGCCTATCTGGATCCCACTGGCGTTCTGGATAAACAGGCCTGCTGCAACACACACACACACATACATGCACACACAAACACACCGTTTCTCATAAATGCTTTCCTGATTGAAGTGCTAGATAGCTGTCATATTGATTAGGGAATCTACATCAGCTGTAGACTAGCTGTAGTAATGGTAATACTGGTATCAAGCAATGTAATCTTTGTGTATCATCCCTACCTGGGTCTTGTGAAGGTCCAAACTTAGCACCCGAGTTCAGGTGCAGCCCTGCAGAGAGGTCTGGGGCAACTGACTCTGGCACTGGGTAGGCTGGCCAGGACTGGAGGCGGTCGTACTGGGCGTAGGGATATTGCTGCTGGGGGGAGTACTGGCCCTGGCTCAGAGAGGGGCTGCTGGTGGACTCAGGGATGTGGCTGGATAGCTGGTGTCTGGGTGTGGTGGCCCCGAAGGGGGCCGCAGCCTCGTACAGGCCTAGGTTAGAGAGATGGAGGTGGGGGTCCACCTCCACGCTGCTGGGCTGGCCGGCCTGGGTTTTGGTCCAGGACTGGACAGAGGACACTGGGGGCTGGGAGGGCCTGAGGTCCGGGAGGCCTCTGGTGGAGGAGAGGTCCTGTGATGAGAGGCGCTGTGGGGTGGTAGGGTGAGGGTAGGGGCTGAAGTCAGGCTGGTCCATCCGGCAGTAGCTGCCGAATTTGTGGTACTCCAACTCCTGGGCTAATTTGACCTCCAGGTTTGACCTCGAACTGCTGACCAGTTTGAGCTCCATACCCGAGGGGGTGCTGATGGGGCCGAGGGCCCGGGCGTCTGGCTGGATTAGGGAGTGCTCACAGGGGAGGAAGAGGTTCAGGTCCTCAATGCTGGCCTCCACTGGACCAGCCTCTATACGGACAGCCCCAGCACTGTCTGAGCTCAGCAAGGGAGCTGGCCGGTCTATAGGGAGAAGATGTAGAGGGTTCATTTTTAAAAGCTGAATTCTAAATTGAGATCCATGTGCATTACTTGTTAACTTCATATAAATGGTTTATTGGTGAGAATGAGAGATTTGAACAAAACATTTAGATACGGGCAAAGATCTCAAGTTAGGTCTTAGTTAGGGCTGTTATGGTGACCGTACTACCGCCACACTGGCGGTCACGAGTCATGACTGCAGTCAAATTCCACGTGACCGTTTAGTCACGGTAATTAGGCTTCTCCAAGCTCTGATGCTGCTGATGTTCATTAGTAGCCTATCAAAATTGCTAACTGCCTGGTACTCAGCACTCTATTGTCCCTCTAATCACTCTGACATCAATGCAAATGTTCAAAGATCTAATCAAACACGTCATGAGAGCCCATGGGCTCAGGTTGAGCAACATTTCCATAGGCTATGCAATTGCATGAGAGTGATGGCCTCTATTAAAAAGAGGAGGATGCCATCAGTTTTCTATAGGCTAAGCCTACTACATTTATTTCTCAACTTTCCTAATACTAAGCACATTGCTTCTCTTTACAACAGGTGTACAGCCTACCTGGCTGGCATGAAAATGAACCATAGGAAAAGCGTCCTACAGTTTTTTTTTTTTCTGCTGCCGGTTTCGAGACAGGTGCATGATAATGGTCCATTCTAAAACAAAACATATTTCATTCTAAATCAAAACAAATTTCACACATATATTATTTAGTATGAGTAAGAATAGTGTGATGGGTGACAATATTAGCCTATCACTTGAATGATGCCCAGCTTAAGGCAAGAAACAGCGCATGCTTTTTGTTGCGGCTTTTTTAAATCATAGTCGCACACCTCATGTAGCCTAGCCCGTAGGCCTATATGTTTTGATATTGTTTGTATCAAAACTAAAGTGGCCAAATAACTTCTTAAAAGGCACTGCATCGCAGTGCTAACTGTGCCACTAGAGATCCTGGTTCGAATCCAGGCTCTGTCGCAGCCGGCCGCGACCGGGAGACTCATGGGCGGCGCACAATTGGCCCAGCGTCGTCCAGGGTAGGGGAGGGAATGGCCGGCAGGGATGTAGCTCAGTTGATAGAGCATGGCGTTTGCAACGCCAGGGTTGTGGGTTCGATTCCCACGGGGGGCCAGTATAAAAAGATGTATTCACTAACTGTAAGTCGCTCTGGATAAGAGCGTCTGCTAAATGACTAAAATGTAAATGTAAATGTAAAATGAAGCATATTAATCCGCTTTACAACGGGTGTAGAGCCTAACTGGCATACATGCGCAGCGTGCAAGTTTCAAGTTTGGGGAAGATAATTTTCACCATAAAAACGCACCTTTATAATAAAAGCATAATCGCATTTGTTAGAGAATGGTGTTTTCCTGCTAATTGAACATTTGCGCTTATAGCCTACTGCCGTGTGTGTGCACATTGCTGCGCTTATAATGTGAAGAAATAGCATAATAGTTTATTAACATTTTAAGATAAGCGTTCTCATCTGTTGCATCATGCTCATTGCTTAAAACAGTTTTTTTTATGCTAGTGGTTATATTCATTTGGGATCTATCGCATCCCACAACTGTCCCAGACTATGTTTGGAATATTTATTTCTCACATAGAATATAATAGGTCAACTTCTGTACTATGGGGGATAGTAGATTGACATAGGCTAGTGCTTTTGTTGTTCGTTAGGCATACTTATTTTGTTGGCTGACGAAAAGTAAACGTGGACAGTTCTTCCAAAATCTTCAATATGTGCCTCGGAATTAGATAAGGACCCGCGCAGTTGCGTCCCTGATGTGCCTGTCTTCACTTGTAGCCTGTGAGAAAGACCCGATCACGTGACGGAGAGCCAAAGGAATTATAATTATTATATTCAACCCAAGGGCACAACGGCCACAAAAGGCATGGATTTTTTTAGGGGGCATTACGGCCACACAAAGGGGATGCAGCCGGGAAATTCAAGGCATTATCAAATGGTTGTCAAATTGTGAATGAGAGACTGATGAAGTGTGTACAGCCTGGCAAAAAAATTAAGCAGAGCTCATGCCTTTCATGCAACTTTTTTCAAATCATCATTAGAGTTGCATTATGCAGCCTTATAATGTATTAAAAATCTAAACATATAGGCCACCATTTGTATCACTACTAAAGTTACATAAATAACTCTAAATTAGCATATAGGAGTACCTGTTTCTTTGTTAACCGCTCAACACAGAATAGCCGCATGTGCACACTCCCTCAAATCGTTCGGAGAAAATATCCTTTCTATTTTATTCAGCTATGTTCAATTGTATTCTTCATACTATAAAATAATATAAAATAATGCCACGGACTTCTAAGCAAATCTTGTCTGCTAAATGAACTAGTGTAGCCCACAGCCATATGGCATAGCCAGATCAGGGCCTAACATAAGGAGAACTCAGAGTACGCTACTCTGTTCTTCCGAAATAGACTACATTTTCTTCATATCATGTTTCTTTAGACCTGTCTAAAATAAATAATGGATTAATTGTGTTGGTGTAGGCTTTGTGTTTAAATGTAGATTCCAAAAGGTCTGCATCAGTGGCTTGTAGGCTATGCGTTTTATGTTAATTAACGGTCAATTGCCGTAAGACTGGCAGTTATTTGCTTGACAACCACTGGCTGACAACATTTCATGACCGCCGCAGCCCTAGTCTTAGTGCATCCCGTCTTGTTTGATTTTTTATCATTTTCTGTCATGCCCAATATTTCAGTGGACTTTGTCCAAACTTTTGGATCAGTGGGCTTAGGCTGAGTATATTAAATATGAAACTTGACACAAGTCTACACCACGCTGAGACTGTATAGCAAGGCAGTGTGCGGTCTGGAGGTGTACGGCATGTATAAAGAGGCAGCGAGCAGTCTGGAGTTGTAAGGCGGAGAGCTATAAAGGGTCAGGGCCATGAAGCCTGCCTCCCGTGGTGCTCATCAGACCACTCACCTGCTGTAAGGCTCTCAGGAGGCATCGATAAAGATTTCATCTTCTCCACCAGCTCCTCAGGCCCCTCGTACAAGTCCTACATGCCAATGAAACAAATCACAGGATGCATAATATAGTTTAAAAGGTGTTATGGACCTTTTATGATAGATGAGGTAATATTGTGGTAATATCATGAGGTAATCACTCACTCACATAGGTAATATTGTGTTTTCAAAAGTTATCTACAACTTAGTGAATCACCACAAACAAAGCACCCATCAATATCTTTCACTAAGTTACTGTATTTGTTCCAACATTGTTTTGTGGCGCACTTGGTTAATTCAATGATGTACTCATGGCAACGCTATCACTTTGTTCATGCATTCAACTTACTCTGAGACCAAGTGAGTCCCTTTCTACATCTGGCTCCAACTTCTCCCTGTAGACGGGAAGGAAGAAGTTGTAGCCCTCTTGTAGAGAAAAAGAGAGAGAAGAGCAGAGAGAGAGAGAAAGAGACAGCAATTAGAGCAGTCATATGACTAACATAGCCACAGAAGAGTCTGTGTATTAGACCATGATGCAAAATTAGACTCATGAATGCCAAGGGCTCACTTGAATTGATGCTTGTTGGAAGTACTCATTTATTCATTAGGTCCAATGTTCACTTCTGATGATGACACAGCATATTGGTTGCATATTGCACTTGTTTTGAACTCATATGTGTTGGAATGTACAAGTTGTAAATGCTTTGTAATACACCCTTTAATACCGTGTCTGTACATGTATGTATGTATGTATGTATGTATGTATGTATGTATGTATGTATGTATGTATGTATGTATGTATGTATGTATGTATGTATGTATGTATGTATGTATGTATATATATATATATATATATATATATATGTCCAGTTAGTCACAGGTGTATGGGGACCCCTGAAGGGTCTGGTTCCTCTCAAGGTTTATTCTACACTCCCCTAAGGAGTTCTATCAAGCTCCTGTTGCCCTGAACTTGCTATTTAGGGGCGTTAGGTCTGGGTTTCGTGAATTGTGCCTTGATATTAATTTGTAAAAAGTGCTATACAAATACAATTTGATGTATTGCCATTGTGTGTATGCTGTAATATATTATTAGAAATTCCTGTACCTCAATCTCACTACACATTTGCACACACACCTCCAAATGTTGGTCGTTGTTGTGGATCCTGATGCCAGCATCTCTTCATTAGCTCTATGATCTCTACAGGTGTATCATCAGGGATGAGGTCTTCATCAGGACGATCGCCTTTACGGACACACTGGCAGATATGGTCCTCACTCCGAGCATCTGAAAATACAGTAGTCCAATATTAATTCAGTGCATTCAAATCTGTACAGGCATTTGAAAACCTTATCCATTCATAAAATGTTTACTATAAAATACAGTGGGCTCCAAAAGTATTGAGCCAGCGACACAGTTTTTGTTGCTCTGTACTCCAGCACTTTGGATTTGAAATGATAAAATGACTATGAGGTTAAAGTACAGACTGTCAGCTTTAATTTGAGGGTATTTTAATCCATATCTGGTGAAATGTCTGCACTTTTTGTACATAGTCCCTCAATTTTAGGGGACCAAAATTATTGGGACAAATTAACTTATGTGTATTAAAGTAGTAAAAAGTTAAGTATTTGGTCCCATATTCATAGCACGCAATGACTACATCAAGCTTGTGACTCTACACATTTGTTGGATGCATTTGCTGTTTGTTTTGGTTGTGTTTCAGATTATATTATATTATATTGTGCCCAATAGAAATGAATGGTAAATAATGTATTGTGTCATTTTGGAGTCACTTTTATTGTAAATAAGAATAGAATGTTTCTAAACACTTCTACATGATCATGGATGCTACCATGATTACATATAATCCTGAATGAATTGTGAATAGTGATGAGTGAGAAAGTTACAGATGCACAAATATCATCATAAAACGTGGTAATTAACTACAATGACCTTAATCCATTGCGCATCTACTTGTCCGGTCTGTGTTTCTTTTACGCCTGCTACAGAAGAGACAGAAGAATGCGTGATTGTGAGTTTATATAGAGAGCAGCTGTTGCTTCAGGAGGTATCTCTACCTGAAATACATGATCTAAGTGATTGATAGTTGATATTCAGCAGTCATTAAAGTATGCCTTATTTACTTTGAAGAACTACAAAATAGTGATTTTGTCAGACAGCATAGGAAGCACCTCTATAGAAATGAGATTTGGTATGAAATAATAAAGTATTCAAATAAATCAAATGTAATATAGGCTACAGAACTGAAATATTTTATTAAAGTAATGTGAATAAATGATGGTTAATAAGTGATAAGCAGTAAATGGGCAGTCACTACCATCATGGGACTTTTATTCATTGTTTTATTCTGTGTTGTTACAACATTTACAACCCACATAATGCATAGCGCATAATGTACATTAAAAAAAATAATTAAAAAAAAATTCGCAACCGAAATTGAAAACTATGATTTAGAATCGAAACGACCTAAAAAAGAACTAATCGCTCAGCACTACCCGATATGGATGAAAATACCCTCAAATTAAAGCTGACAGTCTGCACTTTAACCTCATAGTCATTGTATCATTACAAATCCAAAGTGCTGGAGTACAGAGCCAAAACAACAACTGTCACTGTCCCAATACTTTTGGAGCTCACTGTATATGAGAGTTCACCAAAGAAAACAAAAAAAAGACTATATGGCTGAAATCGCATCAGACTACTTTAACCCCAACAGGCCTCTGTAGACTGAGTGAGCAACACTCACTTTCATAGGGCTCACTGGCAGTGAGGATGACCCAGACGACAATAGCGAAGCTATAGATGTCAGACTTCTCAGAGGAGTGTGTATGGATGCTGTCCAGGTGCTCAGGAGCCATGTAGCACAGAGTACCAGCTGCCCTGGCCCCCACTCCCCCAGCCCCCATACGTCCTAGCCGGCTCTGCCTGCGAGACTCCTCCTTAGTCAGCCTACTCCACATCTGACAGGTGGCCAGGCCCAGGTCTGCAATCTGGAGCACAGATACAGACATGCAAATTCATACATGTACATGCATTGCGCACATGTATACACAGATTACACACACACATCCATATTCATACAGATATATCAGCATAGAGACATCAATACACAGACAGACACAACACAGGTGCGCGCACACACACACAGTGAAGTCTGATAGAAACAATAATAAAGTATAATATGTTATACAGTGTGTGCTGTACCTTAATATGAAAATCCTTGTCCACCAGTATGTTTTCTGGTTTGAGATCTTTGTGTATGACACGGTTCTTCATCAGGTACACCATCCCCTCCAGAATCTCCAATATGATCCTGCCCTTGATAGATATCGGCACAGAAACCTGGAGAAAAGACAGGAACATATCAAAGTTGTTTTCCCAAAGAGAAAATAGCTTGTTGATGTTACACAGACAAAAGTGTGATGTGGAGTTCTGCTTGAAGACCTCCCACCTCTGCAGTGAGAGGAAGGAGGCTAGCCTGTGAGTTCAGGACCTAACCTCACTCCTAAAGTGACACTGTAGACTAAGTTAGCTATTGTTGTTGTCATTGTTGTTGTTGTTGTTGTTGTTGTGAGCTCCTCTCACCTGGTCCAGCATGGCCAGTAGGTTGCCTTTAGGGATGAGCTCCATGACCAGAGAGTAGTCCCCATCCTCCAGGATCACCCCAAGCAGCTTGACCACCCGCTCATGGTTCAGTCTGGTCATCAGGTTGCCCTCCTCTAGCAGGGACTGCTTACTGCCCCTGGGGGAGACAGGGAGGAAGGCTTGGTCAAGACAACCAGTTCGGAAAATATGTTAATTTGGACATGTATTACTATGGAATAACTAAGCCGACTGTAGCCTAGTTGAGGACTATACACATTACAGGAACATGTCTACAGACACCCATTTTCTCTGTTTTTAACATCCTTTGTGTCACAGGAAAAGAGAAGTGTAACCTACCCACTGGAACTCTCAAACAACTGAGCCTCTGTGTCTGGTCTGACTGGTTCTTTTTCTATGTGAACTTATAAAACATTATCTAAAACAGCTGTTTCCAAACAGTGAGGCACGCCCGTTTGTTTTTAAAAGGAACACAGTCTGGCTTTAAACTTACTCTTGAAAGTTGTAATAGTAGAATGCACAGGGTGCAATTTTAAAATTGGGTAGGGCATAATCAGTTCCTCTTGTCATGTTAGTCATTGCATTCCTTAGAGAGTTATTTACAACTTGTCAGAAATGTCCAAATCAACTAGCCCATGCCAGCGAACTTTTTTTTATTTCGTTTTTTTAGCCCAGATTGTTGTAACTTTTTACTCACTCAAATATCACATGAATACACATTAGACATGGCAAAATGTATAGAATTGCAAGACAATTAGCTTTAAAACTACAGCATTTTCTTTGCAACCCATGACAAAATGTGTAGAATTGCAGGAAATAAGCTTTAAACCTGCAAAATTCTCTCCATGAACGAGAGGGGTGTGAACAGTTTGTGTCGTGAACAGTGCTTGTGGCCATAGAAATAGAGGTGGCGTGGGATGTTCGCCAATGCTGGAAGGGGAATCCCTTATCTAAAAGGTGTGTTAAACCTTGCAAGTAAGTAGCCTACCATTAAAAATATATATATTATGAAAACAAACTTTACTTAATGGATCACATACAAAAATATACTTTAAAGTTGCTACTTTAAATCAGAAAACAATATGAAACTTTTGGAGCGTGACAGTCACAACACTGGTCATGGACACTGGGGAATCCCCACCATGGCCAACTACTCACTCATTGCGCGGTGGCCCGGTGTAGACGGTCTTCAGAACCACCTGACCGAGGGTTTTGTGATAGCACAGGTACACGGTACCGAAGCCGCCGTAGTCCAGAGGCTCCTTTTTGATAAGGTCAGCAGATTTCATGTAGATTGAGTCCTGCACAGCAGCCATGGTGGCTGGCTACCTGGTCCTCGGTATGTCCCTCTAACGTTGAGATGAGACCAGCGCATACATTGTTAATAATAAAGAGCACTATCTCATTATGTAAAAGTATCAATAGTTGATTTCCGAACGAAAGGAGCAGTAGGCTAATGACATTCAGCGGCGTTTAATCGAAATACAGAACTGAATCTGGAAGTGAGACGACGTCGGAAATCCAATAGACTAACTTCAACAACACATTTACCAACAATGTTGTCAACTTATAAAGTTAACAAAATAAAGCACGCATGCCGTTTAACATTCGATGTAAATAGGCTATGACTATGTATGCACCATGATACAAAATGTTGGACAAAACTGTAAATTATAGAGAAATACCCTACTTTCACATTCCACGGATAATTCCGGTATTTGTAAGTCTCGCTTCTTCTTCATCGACAGGGTTTAACGGCGGTTGGCATCCAATGTTAATGGTGCATTACCGCCACCAACTGCTTCTTCTGCTTCTTCTTCTTCTACTTCTTCAATGCGGTTTAACGGCGGTTGGCATTCAATTTGTTGCATTACCGCCACCTACTATACTGGAGTACAACTCCCTTATCTTTTCTTGAAAAATAAAATAAAACAAAGCAAAGAAATATCCTACCATCTAACACTACACTCACAACTTCAAACCTACTACTAATAATTAACCCCACCCTTCTCCACTATTTAAATATACTCGCTCCTACCTCATGCCCTCAACCTGAAATGATGGGACATCACAACTTAACACTCCCTGTAACTCTTCTGCTGTCAGGTCTCGCACACCCAAATATCTCTCTGCAGCTGCCACCACAACCTCAATTTTCTTCGATTTGCGTTCCATCCCTGCAGTACAATTAATAACCATTGCTATAAACGCTAAAAACCCAATCTTACTGAAACATATATCACTTGCTTGCCTATCCCACTGTACTGGTATATATCTCCTACTCTCACCACCCCCCCCCCCCCCCCCCCCCCCCCCCCCTGACCCCTCTTCCTCTACTTTCTTCACTGCCTCCGCATATGACAACTTCTTCTCTACTCTTACCCTGGAAACCTCAACCTGCTTCTCTCGCACTGATCCCCAGCCCCATGGCCACCCCTACAATTAGCACATACCACTACTTTCCCCACTGCTTCACACTCCTTAGTCTCATGCCCTTCTGCACACTTCTTACACATTGGAATCTCCCTCCAACATACTGCTGCCACATGCCCATAGGTTTGACACCTGTAACATCGTAACGTACTCAGCATATACGCTCGCACAGGATAACTTATATATCCTAACTTCACTTTATCCGGCAAAGACTCAACTTCAAAACTCAAAAGAACAGACAATGACTCTTCTGTTTCCCCACTCTCGCCACCCTGTTTAGGTCGCACCAAACGACGAGCATCACACACACCGGGAATCTTCTCCTTCAGTTGATCCACTTTTACATTTACTGCTACCCCAGTAATCACTCCTCTCAATGGCACCCTTTTCTTAAGAGCGAAACAATTCACAATTCTTTCCCCCATTTGTTTAACTCTAAGCGCATTCTCCCTCTGCCCAACAGAAAATCAAACAATTATCACTAGACCACTTCTGGTTACCCTCACCGATTCCACTATACCCAACGCTTTTTTCACCCATCTTGAAACCACAAATGGATCAGCCAAAAGGCAAGGATCCACTTTTTCCACAAACTTCACTCCTACTGTCACAGACTCATCTTTATCCTGACACTCTGCGCAAGCCTCTGGCTCCGAGCACTTCACCACACCTACCACCTCCGATACTTCACCCTCTTCCATTTCTACTCCTGTCTTCAGCTCACTTTGTTTACATTTCCTACCACTCTTCTTTAACAAACCTTCTCCCTTTTTCCCGCCATTTTTTACCAACTCAAACTCAGTCTTCCTCCCTCTCTCTCTTAGACCTCCTCTGCCTCTCTTTTTCCCTCAATTCCTCCTCATTCATCCAAGTATACGTCTCCTTATGATAATACTGCAGTTCTCCTAACCAATATCTATTTCTTGCCTTCTCAAAGGACTCCATTTTCCCCCTCCTTTCCCTTCCGGTGTCTATTCTATCCTCGACCTCACAGTCCACAATGACCTCTTCATTGCTCCCTCCCGCGTCTATTCTATCCCTTGGACTTGTGTCGACATCTTGGCCTTCGTCTTCTATCGGAAAATATTTGGTCCGCCACATAGTCCCCAATCGCCCGACCGAAATCCTGGCCGACCTCCCTCAAACTAGCCCATCCATCACCGGCCGAGCGGAAGTGCACTCAAGCCTCGAGCAACCAACCACGTACACATCACCTCAATCCATCGGATGGAGCCGCCACCAACTGGACGGGAAAGTGAACGAGAAAAACATATCCATTGCTGGGGAAAACGACATCACACAAAATACAAAAATAGACATATCCATAAACAAAACCCATCCCACTCCTTTAGTCACAGCAAATATTGTCTATTATATTGACCGCTCTAACAATGGAAATACATGTCTTCAGAAATGGAAGGCAGGTGGGAGGCGAGATGTGTAACCATTCCAGCCAATGAGAGGGCATATATGCATGTGAACAACAGGCCATTGAGATAGATAGAGAACGTATCTTTGTATCTGTGCCATTTTAGAGTCTGTGACAGAATAGGCAGCACCATTGAGGCTTTCTCCATTTTAAAGTAGTCAATTTTCTTCATTGTCTGATTGCTCCCAATTTATAGGAATCCCCATCCAGTTGACTACTTTATAATGGTGGAAGCCCTCTATGGCAAGGTCCATGCTAAAACGTGTTATAGCCATCATGTCACGGATTCAGCCGAGGCTGCTCCTCCTCCTTGCTCGGGCAGGCTTCGGCGTTCGTCGTCCCCGGAGTACTAGCTGCTGCCGATCTATGTTTCGGTGTTTGTCTTGTTTGGTCTTTATTGTTTACACCTGTTTTCCATTATGTTTTATTGTGTTCCCTTTATAACCCTCTGTTTCTCATTGTGTATTGTGCGTAATTGTTTTGGTCTTTTCGGCAGTTGCCCATGTGTGCGGGTTGTATCGTTTCTCTCTGTATGAGGTTGCCTTTGTACTTTGGATTTGCACTGTATCCAGTAAAGTATCTACCAGTAGCTCGGTGTCCTGCTCTTGACTTCGCCTACCGCATACACGTCGCTTTGACACATCATGAGTCCTCTATCTAATTATATGACAACAGACACAAGTCTATATTTAAGCAATAAGGCACGATGGCCAATATACCACGGCTAACTGCTGTTCTTAGGCACGACTCATCGCAGAGTGCCTGGACACAGCCCTTAGCCGTGGTATATTGGCCATATACCACAAACCCCCGAGGTGCCTTATTGCTATTATAAACTGGTTACCATCGTAATTAGAACAGTAAAAATAAATGTTTTGTCATACTTGTGGTATACGTTGTGATATACCACGGCTGCAGCCAATCAGCTCGAACCATCCAGTTTATAATTATTTATTTGACATTTTGCAGGATGAAATCTCTTGAGATGCACCATCTCGTTTTCAAGTGTCCAAAAAAAACAAAAAACAAAAAAACAATACATAGTAACAATAATAATATGCCAACTACTGTTTAATAATAATAATAATAATAATAATAATATATTTTTTAAGTACATTAACAGCATAAAAAAGTACTAATAGGCTTACAACTAATGAAACCTACTGCTACAACTAATAAAACCAAGTACCTATAATATATACCGGTACCGGAGCGCCAAGTCTAGGTCCAAGAGACTTCTAAACAGCTTCTACCCCCAAGCCATAAGACTCTAATCAAACAAAAATGAACATCTAATCAAATGGCTACCCAGACTATTTGCATTGCATTTATTAACGCTGCAGCTACTCTCTGTTTATCTATGCATAGTCACTTTAATAACTCTACCTACATGCACATATTACCTCAATTACCTCGACTAACCGGTGCCCCCGCACATTGACTCGGTACCGGTACCCCCTGTATATAGCCTCGCTATTGTTATTTTACTGCTGCTCTTTAATTATTTGTTACTTTTATTTCTTATCATTTTTTGTTATTTAATATTTGTTTTGTATTTTTTTGGTATCCTTTCTTAAAATTGCATTGTTGGTTAAGGGCTTGTAAGCATTTCACTGTAAGGTCTACACCTGTTGAATTCGGCGCATGTGACAAATTAAAATTGATTTGATTTGATATATATATATTATACTATGTAATGTGGGTTTTTTCAAAGTTGCCTAAATGCCACTTCATCCACTTATATCAGTGCATTCGTGACAACCTAACCAACTTCTAAACTTCTAGTCAATCAAATAAGCCTCATGTAGCAAATTAGCAATTACATTTTTTGTTTGACCAAATTCGACACCCTCTCATTGCCCTCCATACAAAAATTCCTCAATTCGTGTGCTTGAGCAGAGTATACAGTACCTCTCGCGTCGCCTCTTCTTCTCTGGTCACAGTCCAATTGAAAACACATCCCTACACAGGCTCAGCTATAGAATACCACAGTATGAGTCATAATACCCATAAAACCTAGCAGTCAAACACGGAAATGGTTCCAATCGTTTTTCCACCCGTTCATTTTTCCCCATAGCAGATTTTAGAAACACTTCAAATAAGGGCTGTGTTTTGTGTAGGCTTACCCTGGTGTGATGTTTTGATAACCGTGTAAATCTTTCTCGGACAAGGTCATTTTAATCAATATATTCACCTGTATTTACACCCCCCCCCCAAAATGAAATGCTAATTACCTGCTAATGTGGCTATCATACAGAATTAAAAATGCCTGTCTCAACACTAAAAAGTGATTTGTTGTATCAACTTAATTTAATTACTTCAACTGGTAACAAGCAAATTAGTAGATTTTTTTCAGGTCAAATAAACACTTTAGATTAAATGTAATTATTAGGTCAATGACACTTGTATTATTTGATTACAATCAAATTAATAACTCGCCTCAGTAAAACTTATATTTTCATATTTTCCAAACTTGTTTATTTGCTTTACTGAAACTAAAATACAAACTCATAATTTGGCTTCAAGAAAAACAAATTATTGGATTGGAGTAACTTAACTGAGTTACTTCAACTGGTAACATCTAACTGAATGAAGTTCCTGCAAATCAAAATATTAGGTTGGTTCAAAAACATCAAAGTACAGTATGACAACTTTTATTTCACAATGACACATTTATTGGACACAACCTGCATGTAAAACAATATAACCTACTGTACATGTACAACAATAACTTGCTTGTACAACAACACAATCTGCATGTACAACAAAACCTCAACACAAAACTCTTCAGTGTAGTGGGTTACGAGAGCGGAGGAAAAGCGGGAGAGATGAGAGGATGAGGGAAGAGGTTGTACTTGTGTAGATCTTAAATGATTTGACAGGTGTA